TAGTCTTAAATTGTTGGCGCCAGCCTAAACATATACCCACATGACTTTAAATAAATTAAAAAAAGATGATTGGAATGTAATAATGTTTTTTAGTTATATAAATAGATCACTGGGCGTTAATGGGTTAATTATCCGCAGTAGATTTTCTTTATAGATTTTTGAAAAAATGTATTTTTATTACGGGTAAGTAATTTCATATCAAATGAACCAAAAAAAAGGTAAATTTTGTTTTCAATGTCTCCGATTTTGATTATTTAAGGTTAAGTTGTTCTACGTCCTGAAAAACTCGAAAACCCAAAATTTTTGTTTTTCTTTTATGTTTATTTAAAAATCAAGAATTTTACCAATTTTGCCTCTGCAGGATCTTAAATTAACAGATATATCTCAGGAACTGCTTATTACAGAGCATTGAGTAATAGCTTGTTTTAAAGGTCTTTTGAAGCCCTTTCAGATAATGTATCTTAGAAAAAAGGGAATTTAAAAAAAAATGAATTTTTTTTTGAAACACCATTTTTAATTTTTTTGAAAAAAATATATTCTTTTTATTTATGTTTAAGTATGATAATACCAGATTTCAAAATGGAGAAATGAAAAGTTAAGTTTAAAAAATTAAAACCCTTGAAACACAAAAATATTAAAAATAACCAATTATAGGGAATTTCTTTTACAAAAATTTATTTATGCAATGCTTAAGCATTGATTAATTAAGACACCTCTTTTCTCTTGTTTATAAAAATTCCAGCCTATTCTACCACCTCTAGGTTGGTATATTTAAGAAAAATCCTGCATATAACAAATATGTACAATGCAAAATATTTACGTATATCGTATATCGTATATGGTTTTTTTATTTAATTTTTTTCGAAATAATAATACTAACTATATTAAACATTTTTATAAAAAATATGTATTTTTAGGTAATTTTCAGTATCTTAAGTAAAAATTCTAATTTAGAACACCCGAATCCCCCTGTGTGCACGGGCCTGGTTTATACTAGTTTGTGTTTCATAAGATCATAAAAGGCTCAAAAATAAATTTTGGTACAATTTTTAGTAAAATATACATTAGTAAGAGTGGGTAGACTTTTGTGTGATTATGTAATACTTGGATTTGCATAATGCTGTTTGTCTGTCTTACAAAAAATTTAAAATAAAAACAAATAGGTGAGTTAGGGGGGGCAATTGCACCCATTGATTCCCCCTGTATCCGCGCCTGCTTAGATTTTAGATTTTTAGTGTTCAAAGAAAACAATTTTTACTTGTTCCATTCAGGTGGCGGCACCCGAGCCGTGTGATTTCCTCCTGGGGGGCTATCAAATTTAGGGCCGCAAATGAATCTCGTTTACTGGAGGGGGAAGGTCTTTTAAAACGTCGGGTGACAAATTAAATCGAATAAAATTGCTTATTCGTTCCATTTTTGTCAGATTGAGTACAAAAAAAAATCGGAAAAAATAAGTTAGGGGTTCGATAATTCGATAATCTTCACATCGTCACAAGAAAGGGAAAGGGAGTCAATTTAGACCATTTTTAGCTTTCAGTATTTTAAGTGAAAATTATAGTTTAAAACCCTCCTGAGGGGGTTTGAACACCCAAAACCTCCCGTTTTTTTCATATTCTGTAATATCATCACCATGTTAAAAAAATAATCACCGATTGAGAACGTTACAAACAAAATTTTTTTTACAATTTGGTGTGTACCAATTTTTTTACCAAATATTTAATTTGTATGATTTTTTTTCGATTCAGTAGTTTCCGCATGATAAATTTTTGACAAAAAAATATAATTTTTTAAGTTGCAAAATCAATAACAGAAATATTTAATTTTGGAAAACCACTCCGCGTGAACAATCAAGGTACCACTTCCACTCTATAGGCAAATAGCGGAAGAGGTTGTAAAAAAACAAGGTGGACCGCTTTTACAAAAACGTCCCGGGCCGTTTGAAACATGCCCACCCGCCCCTGCAAAATAGAATGTTGTGTCAAATTTAAAATTGGTAAAATTAATATAATTTTTATAACGAAAATACGCTTTTTTATATATAAATTTATTGTATATAGGGCATTCCACGCCAAATCGGATGGTTTCAATTTTTTTTTATATTTTTTAGTACTCCTTGAAAGAGCTTTCTCAGTAAATTTTGAGATTTTAAAAAATCGAAAAAAAATAGTAATTATGGAAGGCCCACTACCGGACCAGGCTGAATAGTTGTTGAATAGATAAAAGTTGAAAATAAAAATTTTTCGCGAAAATCGAAGAAGACACATAGTTAAAAACACGATTTAAACTTTAAAACTTAAAAATCTTGACTTAAAACGCTTCAAATATTTTCAATATATTTTTTTTCGAAAAGAACATTTAAAAACGAAAATTTTATATAGAATGAACGTTTTGATTTGGACCATTTTTTAAGAAGTTATGAGCGAAAAACAAAAAAAAAACAGTTTTTTGAAAATTTGATATCTTTTGAACCCGTGATCAAAAAAATCTCAAAATGTACTAAGAAAGCTCTTTCAAGGTGTAATAAAAAATATAAAAAATTGGAGGAATCAAAATTTTTTTTTAACCATCCAATTTGGCGTGGAATGCCCCATATATAGGTACAGTGTTAAATGTATTTTCCAAAACATCATAAATACTTTACCTCTTGCAACATTGCTATAGCTTTGATAGTTCAATTTTCAAAAACTTATTTTGAGAAGTAGCGAAAACAGCTTTATAATGAAACAAAATTCAATTTAAAAATTGGAGATTTTGCTGAAAATTATAAATTTGTTCTTCAGGATGAGGTACAATCATACCATTTGACTAACAGTCAGGCCATGGCCTGACGGGGTGCACCCTTCCCCCGTTTGTGAAAACGAAAGAAATGAAATTAAACATTTAAACTACGTTTTTGTTTCGGATTGCCTAATTCATAATATTGTTGCTTTTCATTTATTTTTAAGCCATTTAATCCCTGAATAAAAAAATCCTTAATCTTTACAAAATCTTTTATTTTTCTGATGGGTACGCAGCACAATATAAAAACAAAAAAAACTTTATTTATATCTATGTTACTCTGAGATAGAATTTGGAATTCAGGCACAGTGGCATTTTTTTGCCAGGACACATGGCAAGAGTGCCTGCGACGGTTTGGGGGGTACATAATTTGATTCCAGTTTCAGAATCCAGAAAAGTAACTAAACTTTTTTCTCTCAGCTTGGAACAACATATTCAAGACCTTGTTAAATGTGCTCAAATAACGAATTCTGAATTAAGGTTTATTAAATCTGGTTTTGTCATCATTATAATGGTATAATTATAAAAACTCTTGGTGGTTAGCTTTTACAATTGGAAAGAATAGTCTAAGAAAATTAAAGTTAGTTTTTTACATCCGAATGGACCAGCAAATTATTTTTATTATCCAAAACCTAAGGCAAAAATATTAATAAATCATAGAAATACAATATTTAGGAAAGTTAAGCCTGTTACTGGTACAGATTAAACTTTTACTTTAACCAAAGAAGAAATGTTGGAAACTTCAAACATTCTTAAAAAAGACAAAAAACTAACTAATTTCCATTTGATATTTAGTTTCAAAAATTATAAAAATATTTTTTCGTATTTTTAAGTTAATATATTCGTTCTATTTTTAAAATAAAACCGTTTTTTTGCTATGTAAGGATATTAAAAATAATTATTACAATTAATCCATTATTTCTCTATTCTAAATTATGGTAAATAGGTAGCTAAAACATTGATAAAAATTTGGAAAAAAAATAAAAAATGGTGTTCTTAAAAAAATTTACAATTTTTTTTTAATTCCCATTTTTTCCAAAAATTCACATTTTTTTTTAAGACAAAGTATATCATGTGATACATCATCTAAAAGGGCTTCTTAAGACCTTTAAAGCAAAACAAAATATTACTCAATGCTCTGTGACAAGCAGTTCCTGAGATATGGTAAATTTCTAGATTTTCAAAAATCCATAAATGAAAAAGTACTGTTCAAAAAAAATTTAAATTTTGGTTTTTCGAGTTTTTCAATGAGAAGAGCAACTGTACCAAAATTCATCAAAACCTCAAAACCTTTGGTTGATTTAATATGAAATTACCCTTACGCAGAATACTACATAATTTTTATCATATGTGAAAACCGATTTGAATGATGTTTAAATAGTTTTCCACAAAATGTATTGTATTTATAATAATGTGTGAATGAAATGTCTTGAGTCAAATTAAATTATACTTACCTTGACTGGTAGAAACTATTTCGTTTCATTGCAAACGGACAAATCATAGTAAATTTATTTACTTGTTCACTTAGCACTTTATTTATCGCTTAAGTAATGCAGCGCGAAAAAAGGCGAACCTGGCACTGAAACCGAATGTGAAAGATTTTTACTCTATCGACCAAAAATCATTTACATTAAATTAAAATTTTGGATGTCGTCAACTGTATTTAGTACAAAATTGTTAAAATAAACTTAACCCGGTTAATTTTTATACTTTATTGAAAGTTCACTAAAAAAATTTTAAAAAAAGTATTTAAAAAAAGGTAAAATAAACCCAATATTAACTTTTTTTTAACCGAAAAATAAAATTTACTAATGTTAATTTAACCAGTTATGCTACTTTGGCGCATTCCGGTTTCTTATTCTAGGAGTAACTAAAATTATTTAAGTCAAATACATTTTTGCGATTTTTTGGCAAACATTTTAATTTTGTGATGACCTAGAAAATAATCGGATATTTATTAAACCATTATTTATATTTATATAATTTTGCATAGGTATTTATTTTATTTACGTATACGTACATTTAAATTAAATTTCTTATCATAATAATACCTACATATTATTTTTAACATAAATAAAGTTTTAATAATAAAATGAGAATGTTAATTTTATAAACATATGTTTATAATATATATTATAAGAAACCTCTAAGGATTCCATGTCTAGTTATAAAGGTTAGATTTTTTTATCCAACACAACTTAATCTTTATTTTATTTTTTTAGTGCACAACGGAAAGGAAAAACCCGCAGAGGAGGTGGAAATTGTTCAAAAATGCATTGGAGTGCTGGGCAAATGGCACATCTGGATTTGTCTGGGCATATTCCTTGTTAAATTTCCAGTGGCTTGGCACCAGTTGAGCATAGTCTTTGTAGCGCCTCCTGTAAATTTCACTTGCATCGATTCAGAAATAGACAGATGTTCGAAAAATTGTTCCGGGCATACGTTTGACAGGTATGCTGCCGAACTGAAAAATTAAACAAAAGTCTGTTTAATGATTAAACAGACTTAAACATTAATGGAACTCTTTAAAGAACGTGGACCTCAAACAAGCTAAACTTGGCTTGAATAAGAATCTAGATTCTTATTTCAAAAAATACGTTGTTTGAACCAGATTTCGGTCTCAACTTACCTTAGATAACTTTTACTTGTAGATTAGGGTGTGCGTTATTTCCCAAATTGGCTGTGGTCTACAACTAAAGTGACCATTTTTTTTCCTCTCAAAACGGGACTTCGGTTTATTTACGTCAGGTTACTAATAAATACAATATTTTTTTTTTTAATATTGTAAAGTAGGGTTTTTTTTATATTCACCTTAGTTATCAACATCGCCTTAAGAACTGGAATCTGTAACTGGGTTTTTTCAGACGTCCACAATTTATTCATTCAAAGAGTATTTTCTTTATAAAGAAAATACTCTTTCTACTGGATCATTTGTAGCAGGCGCCTGCTACAAATCATCCAGTAGAAAGAGTATTTTCTTTCTGCGCAGACAAAAAATATATTCAATTAAAATACAAAAGTTTTCAAGATTGTTGGTGCGAAAGTGTGTGAATACTTCCACCGAAGAAGACTTTAGGATTCTTTCAATCACTTACTTTATGCGACGGGATGTAGCATAAGTATACATCCCGTCGCATAAAGTAAGCGACTTATAAGTCCACTATTTCAGATATTCAGGGCTCCACGCGGTCCCGCACTGCTCGCGTCCGGTGAAACACGTAATTTTCGCGCGGTTTTGCTAAACGGGACAATTTTGCTTCCCGGAGTTGTTTTTGGGGACAACGGGATAGATAATCGAATAAAGGGACGGTCCCGTTCAAAACGGGACGTATGGTCACCTTATCTATAACCTACAAATATTTTGAAACAAAATTAACTTCTTTAGTGTCGTTGCAATCACTAGCCGACACCAATTATACCTCTATACTACAGAAACACTATATACCTACCTAAAATAATTTAATAATAGATTACCCACAGTAAATTAAATTAACCTAATTTGGACAGGACATTTTTTACAAGAATATGCATTAAAAATTGCTGTACATTTAGGTACATAACTCACTAACAAATAGATACTTACATCTATTTGTTAGCGAGTTATAAAATTAAAAAAAAGACATTTTTATTATGTATTTCAAACTTTAACCTTCTTTATCATTTAAATGGTTGGTTTTACGAAAAAAAATAAAATAGGCCGGTACTTACGTTTTTTTAGTTCTCCAAAAATCTTACTTATTCTATGTGTTCATTTAATTTTTTTCTTTTATCAATAAGATTAAGAAGCATCATCATCTAGGCAGGGTTAAACAATATTGAAAAATTATTTTTTGTTTCAAAATTATAAATTTATTTAGACAATGCATCGCAATGACCAAATAGAAAGAGCCAGTTAGGGAAATAACGGACACACCATTGTATATGTATATTTATAAATACGGTAACAGTTTTGTAGATACTAGTGATGGGTCGCACATGTGCGAGTCGTACATACCCAGCAAACATTTATCAGCGGCATTAAGGCGGCTAAACATCGGCAAGCCGATAATGACGTAGTCGGCCCGCCATTGTTTTCCGACCGTCGGCCCGCCGTCAATAGGAGACAAGTGGCAACGATCGGCCAACGATCAATTGCCGATCCTTTTTTAGACATCGGCCCGCCGTTTATTTCAGACATCGGCCCGCCGTTTATTTCAGACATCGGCTAGAGGTTGTTTTTAGATATTGGGCCGTTGTCAATAGGAGATAAGTGACAACGGGCGGCCAACGATCAATCGCCGATCGTTTTCCGTTGTTTTTAGACATAGGCCTGCCATTGTCTTCAAATATAGGCCCGCCGTTGTTTTCAGACATATGTCTGTAAGGATATCCATCCATTATCTAGACAAGGTCGGGCCGATGTCTAAAAACGACGGAAAATGATCGGCAATTAATCGTTGGCCGACCGTTGCCCCTTGTCTTCTATTGGCAGCGGGCCGATGTCTAAAAACACGGGCGAACGATGATTTATCAGCGGCTTAACTTCGACAAGCTGATAATGACGTTGTTTTTTGACCCCTTTAAAGATCAATAATAATTATTGATGATCTAAAGGAAATATAAAAAAATGTCAATTTAATTTTTTAGGTCTCTAAGATTTTAGTTAAAAAAGGATTATTTAAATAATTATATACCTATAAAAAAATTAATGTTTTATTCTTATTAATATTAAAAAAAATAATCACATATGTGGGTTTACATATTTATAAAAAATATATTACTTTTTGTAAAAGCAAAAAAATTTGGTATTAAATTAAAATATGAATTTATTGCCTTCTTCTATTTCTGCCACCATCCCTGTCCCCAGCTGTTCGTAGCCAAGCTTTAATAACAGATTCAACTTCTGTTGTGGAAGCGTTCTTAGTTAGGCTATTCGTTCTAAGTGAACCTTAAAGTAAATATTAAAAAAGTATTGCTTGTATAAGAAAGCCTTACCTAATAAGAGGTTAATTATATTAACGTGAGTGGCAAATGCTCTTTTAGCTCCTTTTCCCTTCCAATTATATTCTTTTGCTAAACTATTGGATATTATCTTTGATAATATTCGCCTTGTGGAATCAACCACATCCTTACCTCCAATGAGCCTTAGTTTTGAGCACTAAAATTGAGATTAATAATAACTAAATTAAAATTTAATATATCATATAGAATATAGGTAAAAAACAAATTATATATCAAAATATTTTAAGTTAAATTACAAAAAAAAATAAAAACTATAGCTATACCGAGTATAATTTATATATTATATACCTAATATAATATATAATATAATTTTTATATATAAGATTTTATTTAATTTTTTTTAATATGGAAAATTTCATATTTGATAGAACTAGCAAAAATAAGAAAAAAGTTTGTATAACAATTGTATGCTTTAAAGCATTGTTTTTAAGATACAGAGTGCTATTAAAAAAATATGATCACACCAATGCTATTTTATAAGTTTGATACTATATTCAGATTAAGCAATTAAGAATACAATTGTATGCAGGAGACAAAAGGTTAACCTTTTGTCTCCTGCATTTTTTCTGTATCTTGCTTAATTTATAAGAAAAAAATAAAATTCGTTTACATATACCCTAGTGGCCATGGACAAGTGAAAAAACGTATTTTATTTTGTTTCTTAAAAATAAAGCACATATCCTTTCAAATTTATTGAAAAGCAGTTGGGATGCCCCAGCGCTGCCTCTGGAATAACTAGTTATAAATTAAATGTAATTACATTAGATTAAGTGCTTTACCCATTACTAAAAACCTGAAGTTTTATCAAATTTGGCCAAGGAGTTTTTCAAGTATTTGAAAATAAAAATATTTTTTAAATTAGTTTGCCACCTAGTTTAAACATACAAGTAAATTTAAACTTTTCTTCTTATTTTTGCGAGTTTTATTATTTAAAATCTGAGATACCCTGTGTAGTTATTATAATATAAGTAAATTTACCATATTGGAAAAAAAAAATTGTGTCCCCTAATTTTTCATTAAAAGCAACTAAATCCTCATGGCTTGTAATTAATGAAACCATTTACATTCTGTTTCCTGGTTTGTATTTTCAGACAATTTAAATTTAATGTTTTCAATTTCCTCAAGAATTTTATCTTGTTTTAATAGAACTTTGACTAAAATAGCTAAAAATACATAAATAAATAAATTAAAAAGCAAAAAATTTAATAATATTTGTTTTTCACAAATTTAAAATCACTACATGGGCTTGTTAGGAAATTTACTTGGTTAATTAATTATATTTCCTAAAAAGCGTATTATAATAAAATAATACAATTTCTTTTGTCACATATGTAAAAAGGAAATTGTATTATTTTATTTTGTAAAAATGCCTAATGAGAATAAAACTTTTTTCAAATAATAACCTTTTCGTGTTTTTTTAATTTACATACATAAAAGAAAAAAATGTTTTACCTTCGAGTCTTTCAAGTTGAATGTGATTGTCATCAGTATTTCTTGACCTTATAGGAGGCTGTATTGCAGCTGGAATTGGCGGAATTATTGGTAAAGGATCAGTTTCGCTATCAATGTCACTATGGACATATTTTTTATTGGGTTTTTTGGGTCTTTTTAAATTTTCATTGTCGCTATCACTTTGTGATAGCTGCGATGCCTTTTCCATTTTCTTTAATTTTTCTACCGCCTTTTCGTAGGAATCTAAAATAGTTAAAATAAATAAATTAAAATTTATTTATTTATAAAATGCTTTTATTGTTCCAAGTAATTTTGTTAGTAATATTTTATTAAAATATCTCATACCTGTTTTATATTTAATTAAAATTTGGCATCTATCTGAACCCTCTTTTGGAGGATTTTTATTTTTCACAGCCTTAATTTTGTCCTTCTCATTTTTAAAGCTAGGCCATAGGCATTGCTTGTTTCCTACCAACCATGTTTTTGGAATGATTGCCATTGGTAGTTGACCATTTTCGAATTCTTCTGGGAATTCAACTAAATAGTAATTTCTAAAATTTAAAAAATTTTCAATTCATAAAAAAATTGCTGTATTGTATATATTTAAAAATGGACAAGAAACATAAAATTACTAGGTTTTAGTTTTTAAATTATTTATTTATAAATGTAATAACTTTGCAAATACAAATTTATTGTTGTGTTGCATTAATACACCCTTGCATAAAATATCGTTAATATTAAAACTAAATAAATTGTCATCCAAGTCATCAACCTCAAAAAATCCTATAATTTGAGAATTTTCAGGGTAAACAAAAAATGGGGAAATGCTTTTAAATTTTTGTCCCAACATAAAGAAATTATTCGTTTGCATATTTTTGCAAATAAATTTAATAACCACAACATCATTATTAAATAATATAAAAGCATTATCTCCATTTCTGTTGGTGTATATTTCACGATTAACACATATTTTTCTGTAAAATCCGTGATTAAAATACTGTTCTTTAATTACATCAGGTACTTGTTTTTCCAAAATTACATTAATTACACATTGATTAACTTTACGAACATTTATTTTATGAATTTCTTGTAACCTATTTACCACCTGCTGAAGGGGTTGGTTCGATTTCCTCAGTAGTCTTTTAATTTGCCCTAAATAATTTTCAAATTTAAATGAATTTATTGAATTTAGAGTATTAAATTCCTTGGCATCATCTGATAGATGGCTTAAAATGTGTAAATTATAAATACAAAACATTTTACCATATATTTTTTCAACATCTTTTATAAATATATTAAGTAATGTTGATGCAAACCCATTATATTTGGAATTTAAATCCTTTGAAAGCAATATTGTGATTGCAAATTTAAATATTAAAAAATTTGCATATTTTTTTTTATCTAAAATGTCCTTTAAAACCACTGGCCCTATATATAACAAAAACTGACGGAACTCGGTGGCTTTCCACCTTTCAATTTCAAAAATTGATCTTGGTTTTCGATTGAAATTTGCTGGCCAAGATTTTACTATGTTTGATATTCTATCATCTATTTCTATCTTCTTATTAATTTTAAGATGTTTGGCTCCCTGAGACCATGTAATTAATAATTTTTTCATTATTCCTAAGCAAACTGCATGCATGTAATCGATTGGAAATTTGGAAACCATTCCAATATTTAACCTTTCCAAAGGGCTATTTCCTTTATGATGTTCTTTATTCGTTTTTAATAAAAAATCTTCATCTGTTCTCTTTGCTGAGTTAGTGGTTTGAAATATTATCCGGTTATCATAAAATTCTCCCCTAATACAGCACTTATCACAACCAAAGTAACCATTGTGATTTTTTATGTTTTTTATAAATGATTTAGCTGGAGCATCACAAATAAATGATCTAATATTTATTTTAACAATTCCTGCTTTTGTTTGAAGCCCATCCATTAATTTTAACATTTCTTCCACAAATTCTTGAAAAAAATCTTCTAAATCTGGCTTGGATTGACCACAAAATATAGCAACAGCAAATACATTTTCAACATTTTCTACATTACACAAAATTGGCCAGAAAGCGGTTTTTGTGCTTTTGTGTATTGGTAAACCATCAATATTAAAATTTAAGTCCAGTACAGACAATTCAGGGTACGCCTTAACTATAGTTATTAATCTATTTTCTAATCCAAAATAAAAAAAATCCCCCTTTTCTTGACTTTGAATATTGTTTTTGTTTGGAGTTTTTAAAAGTGTTCTGGCATCTGTCGGAATATTTTCAAGATCCGGTTTTGTACTTAACCATTTTAAAATTTCAGTAAGTGCTGTATGTGTAATATTATTTTTTATTGACCAGTTACTTAAAAAAACTTTTGAATCTTCTTTATAATTTTCATTTAATCCAACATATTTTGTTTCTTGTGACAGCTCACCATTTTTTCCTTCCCTTTTGTCCAATACATCATTCTTACAACTGCTATCAGATTCACTCACAAAATTGCATGCACTTTCTTTATTATCACTAGGGTCACTTTTAGATTCTCTATCAATGTCACTGTCATTTTTATTGTGCACAAGATTACTAACACTTCCTTCACTATCACTAGAGTCACTGCTATGATTTGTATCAATGTCACTGTCATTTTTTTTGTGCACAAGCACTGCCTTCACAATCACTTATACTTTCTATACTATCACTAGAGTCACTTTTATTATGTCCATCAATGTCACTGTCATTTTTATTGTGCAGAAGATTGCAAGCACTGCCTCCACAATCACTAGAGTAACAGTCTCTTCCTTCATTTTTAGTTAAGTCAATAACTTTTTCTCTGCTAACGGCGTTAACTATGTTATGGGAGGTGCTAGCTGTGATATCTATTTTAGCTAGTTTAAAATACTCTGCCCTCTCCCGAGCCAATATTTTATAGCAGTAGCTTCTCGAGTATTTTCTTTTTTTTATTCTAAAACCATAAGTAAAAAACAATTAAAGTTTAATGTTCGGTTATGGGTATAGCTTAATAAATTTAACAAATAACAGGTCTGTTCATAGAAGCATGCTTGAAGAGTTCAATTTTGTCACACTCGAAAGAAGGTGGTCATTGCAGGCAGTACTTCTTGTATATTTTAATATCAACAACTTAAAGTATAAAAATCTTCAATTGATGAATTTTGTTAAACTATTGGTTCCAAAGATACATTTGCGCATGCAGGGAAGTAATATTTTTATTTTGATCTAACAGACTGCTCCCCATTTAGAAATATGCTGGAGCAATGCAACTTATTATTGGAATTATCCAACATTGACCTATTTATGGGAAATAATACCAAAGAAATTAGATCACACTTTCTCTCATTCTAGTCTTTTATTCTTAGTTTAGGCTACTTTTACATCTGTTTTTGTTTTGTTACTGTTTTTGTATTTAGATTTTAATTATATACATGTATTTATCTCTTACTTTTAATTACAATTTGTATTGTGTTTGTAAGTAGTATCAATAAATAAATAAATAATTATTTTGTTCAGAAACGCAACAATACTTAAAAACAATTTCTACTATAGTTTATACAAGGGTACATGGGCTTATATTTATAATGATAATGTGAAATTCATGACAATAATAATTATTATTGTACATGACAACCCAATTATCATTTATATGTAACTTTAGTTTTGTAGTTACGTTACTATGGCTCTAAGCCCTCAGTATGTGTAATACACTGTATATTGAAATGGATTATACATATTAAAATAACTATTTTCTACGACCACTATGTAAAAGTCAAATTTCGTATTGGCATCATTGCTTAGAAAATGAATCTTTTCATTGGCAAGGCAAAACACGAATGTAAAGTGACATTTCTGTATGAAAAGTGACAGGTCTGTGTGAAAAGAAATTGACAGCATCGTTTGAAATTCGTTTCAAAATTTGTATTGTATTTATAAATATCATTTAGAACACAATTAATTGTTTTTATAATCTTTCATCTTATTCTTTTAATTTTTAACGTAGGTATAAGTTACTTAAAATCAATAAACTTACCTTCTCAATTTAAATAAAGGCACTAAAAATTAGAATTTATTATACAAACACAATTAATTTTGTTCTAAATGATATTTACAAATACAATACAAATTTTAAAAAGAATGTCAAACGATGCTGTCAATTTCTTTTCACACAGACCTGTCACTTTTCACACAGAAATGTCACTTTACATTCGTGTTTTGCCTTGCCAATGAAAAGATTCATTTTCTAAGCAATGATGCCAATCCCTTGTCTCTGATGCTAATACGAAATGTGACTTTTACATAGTGGTCGTAGAAAAAAAATATTTCATTGTAAAATTTTAGCCTTACATATGTAGGTATACAAATTTACTTACTTGTTTTCCTGTGACATGGTGTTTTCCTGTGACATGGTGATCAATTAACTCAGGCAAAAACCAGTGAATTGATAAAAAAAACTTACTAACACTAACAAAACAATTTTTGATCCTTCGCGTTCAATGGCCGGTTACAAAAGAACGACGCCGCGCAGTTTATATACGCACCATGCAGAACACGACACTGCCGCGCCGTTGCCAAATTCTTATTAAATTTTTTATTATTTCATTTACATTTTTATGGTCTTGTATTATTAATAAATAAACAATTAAAACGCCAAATACATTTTAAAAATTCCAGAAATATTTTATGAGAAACTTTCTTTAAAAATTAGTTAGTATATTATACTTTCCAAAGCTTTGGTGCTGCATTGTGCAGATTATTAATCATAATTATAACCTTGAAAATGATTTTACGCGTAAGTTTTCAATTTTTAGTGTAATTTATAAGTGTATTAATTGTTCAATTGTTCATTAAAAGTAACTAAATTTTATTAAAAGTCTCAAAATTTGAGTATTTCACGGCTGTCTGGCAACACTGTAAATTGTGCTCTAACCTTAAAACCACTCAACGTTAAAACTTTAAATTAGTAATTTTTATTTAAATAATTATTATGTATTTGGTATTGATAAAAAAAATTTGTATGCAGATATTTGATAACATTAACAATTCATAAAAAGGAATTTTCTAAAAATTTCTAAAAACAATTGTATTAATAGGTCCGGACCTACACTGGTGTAGCGCAAGAAACATATGTTAGATATCTATAGTACAGCAATATTAAGATACCTACTAATAGTAGGATACTATAGTAGCATCATAAAAACTAAAGTTACATCATAAAAAAATACCTTTTGTTAATCATCCTGGCGAGTCATGACGTCGGCAAGACAATCATCCCGCCGTTGTTTTTAGACATTGGCCCGTCGTTGCTTTTAGATATCGGCACGCCGTTACTTTTAGACATCAAATTACTACATACGGCCGAGATTGGGCCAATCATGACATTTAAATGTTAATATAAACAATATTAATATTATATTATGACGTTTGATTATAATAAATATTTATTATAATTGTTTATAATTATAATAAATATTTATTATAATCAAACGTCATAATTGGGCTAAACGCGGCCGTATGTAGTAATTTGATGTCTTAAAGCAACGGCGGGCCGATGTCTTTAAACCACGGCGGGCCGATGTTTTTAAGGCAACGGCGGGCTTATGTATCAAAATAACCACCAGCCGACATGGAAATATGATCGTCTTGCCGACGTCGGACCGATATAATGCCGCTTATTAAAGTTTTTAGGCTAAAAATACATATTTTAAAAACAATTTTATTTTATGTTGAAAAAAGTTAGTTTATACTATCATAATATAGCAAAAAGTGCCAACGTAAAATTGCTGTTTTATTCGTATAATCAAATGCCACCGTTGGCCTGACGGCGGTTGTATGTTGTAATTTGATGTCTTAAAGCAACGGCGGGCTAATGTCTTTAAACCACAGCGGGCCGATGTTTTTAAGGGAACGGCGGGCTTATGTATCAAAATAATCACCAGCCTACATGAAAATGATCGTCTTGCCGACGTCGGACCGACTTAATGCCGCTTATTAAAGTTTTTAGGCCCAAAATATATATTTTAAAACAATTTTATTTTATGTTGAAAAAAAGTTAGTTTATACCATCATAATATAGCAAAAAAGTGCCAACGTAAAATTGCTGTTTTATTCGTATAATCAAATGCCAATGTTGGCCCGACGGCGGCAGTATGTTGTGTTTCGATTATCATTTACTAACGCTTTGCCGTCCAAAAAAATAATGTTGGCCAAACGTCGCGCCGACGTCTAAAAAAGATAATCGTGTTGCCGACCGTCGCCCGCTGATTAATGTTTGCTGGGTAATGTACGACACTTTTGTGTGTGCGGAGCTGGTACGACTCTTTTTAAATGTGCTACCAGCACATAGCACCCAGAGATAAAAAAGGCACCTTTATTATATGTGACACATTGCGCTGACACAGCACTGCTCTTTATCTAACCCAGGGTGACCCACCCTGATCTAACCTATGGCTCTTTAGTAAAGAATCTTTACGAGTCGTAAATTACGAAAGAAAGTAAGTATCTACTAGATACTTACTTTCTTTATATATCCTTATAAGGATTTCTCAAAATTAAGTCAATATGCCGTTAAATTTTTTTTTATAAATATTTGCACAGTTAAACACCCCTTTTGTAAGGATTCCAACTACCTATATAAAAAACTAAATTTCTTCATCAAATTTGCAAAAGGGCAGTATAATATAATAATAATTAATATATTATTAACATATATGTTGCTCCTTGATTAGTAAAATTGTTTTTTTTTGTTTTTAGAAAAATATTTACAGAAACTATAAGTACTCAATGGGATTTGGTATGTCAAAAAGAAAATTTGGCCAGTTTTGCCCAAACTATTACCATGCTTGGTATTTTATTTGGAAATATGATATTTGGATATCTATCTGACAGGTTGGTTAAAAACATTGACAGGTTTTAAAAATAATGCATATATCATATAAAAACTATAAAAAGAAAACCAAAATATTTATTAATTAATTGACTTAAGTCAAAACTAGAAAAGATTTTTAATATTTTGGTCTTGGGAGCCCCTAGCTGCAATCCATCAGGAATTAGAAAAAAGGTTATAATTAGGTACATTAAATAATGGTTAATCTTAGATTGCCAAGAGTGGGCCCCTTGATTTAAAAAAAAATATATTAACAAGTTCAAATATAAGTATACTTATAAGTTCGCTGGAAAAAGATTGTATTCAATTTTCATATCCCTGATTACATTCACTGCAAATAAAAAAATATTGACCGTATTCAAAGCACTTTACCGTGCCCTGGCGAAAATGAAGTGTGCAAAATTATTTGAGAACAATGTGATAGTTAGATAGTTTTAAATATCTAGCGATATGTCTATTGAGCAGATATACAATCAATCAGAGGTTGAAATTTAATCAGTAAATATTAAATATATTTGTTGGTATTTTCCTTTTAAGGGGACAACTTTACTGCCTATTTGTTTAATTTACTTTTCATTATATTATATATATAATTTTTAGATTTGGAAGGAAAGATCCGTTATTATGGGCAGTAATAATACAAGCAATAACAGGGTTGGGTGCAGCATTTTCACCCTGGTTAATACTTTTTTTAATTATGAGATTTTTTGCTGCTCTAGCAACAGGTGGAACCATGGTTACAAGTTTTGTTCTTGTTATGGAACTAATAGGTAAATAGGTATAAACGTACAAGTTCATAAAAATATATTTATTTTTAAGGTACTGAATGGAGAACCGTGCTGGGCATCCTCTACCAAATACCATTTAATTTAGGTCACCTTACCTTACCGCTATTTAGTTATTTCCTAAGAGACTGGAGATATTTTCAGGCTGCTATTTCCGCGCCTTCAATATTTCTTATTGTTTATTATTGGATACTACCTGAGTCACCCAGATGGCTTCTTTCGGTTGGTAAAACTGACGACGCCATCAAAACTTTGGAGGCCGCTGCAAAAGGCAATAATTTGCCAACAAATAACATTCGAAAAGATGTTGAGTTTTATATGGCAAAAAAAGAAGTTAATTCCGAAAATACTAAACAGGGTGGAAATATTGTTGATTTAGTTAGAACTAAAATAATGAGGATTTATACAATAGCTATCTGTTTTAACTGGTTAGTTTGCGGTTTGTGTTTCTTTGGAGTTTCGCAGTTTATAGGGCAGCTAGGTGGAAATATTTTTTTGAATGTTGCCTTATCAGCCATTATTCAGATACCTAGCACTTTATTTTCTATATACGCCACCAAACACTGGGGAAGAAAGTACACTTTGATTTTTGGAAACCTTTTAGCGGGGATATTTGTTTTCCTAATAGGTTTTGTTCCCTCTGAGCCTTCGTGGATAAAAACAATACTTAGCAGTGTTGGTATGTTTGGACTTGCCGTTTCCTTCCCAACTGTCTACATTTATTCCGGCGAACTGTTTCCTACTTTGGTACGCAACATAGGTGTCGGCACTTCTTCCATGTGTGCCAGGATTGGGTCGATGGTGGCGCCCTTTGTTGCGGGGCTTGTTAAAGTACAACCATGGCTACCGCCGGTTATATTCGGTGTTGTTTGCCTCATTGGCGCTATTTTATGTTTGTTGCTTCCAGAAACACTGGATTGTAAACTTCCTGACACCGTGGAAGAGGCAGAAGAATTCCACAAAAAGAAATATGCTACTAAGGCTATTGAAATCGAAATGAAATAAACTCGCTTGCGAAAATACCACCCTGATATTTAACATTCTTTTACAGGGTATCTCTGAAAGGTTTAGTGATTTAGTGACTCCTGACGCGAAAATATGTCGATTTAAGCCAAGTTAGTTTATCCAAAATAAATAATATTTTGGCGTACAAACCTTTTAAAGAATATCCATACTGATATTAAATTTGTTTTTTTATTAGCCATTTAATAATAGTTTTTTAACTAAAATTTTAATTAAGAAAATAAGAAATAAACAATTAGGTAACAAAAAAGAAACTAATTTATTAAATGATTTTTTTAAAGTTATGTAAAACGGATTCAATAAAAAAACAAGTTAATGAAATACTGACAAAAGGATAAAAAAATCTCGTGCACTTTTCGTACATGTATTATAAAATATTAACACTAGAATTCTGGTGTAAACGCCCATTTTGAATTTGATTGAGGAACGCAGGTTTATGCTGACAACACAGCAAACGGAAAAATATAGAAGTGTATTGGATGACGACACGTTTGAATACAGTTTTCCCTAGACCAAACATTTGGTCTAGGCAGTTTTCTAAACCCTCGCCACGGTATAATAATAATAATAATAATAATATTTATTTCAAAGTAATGTTATACATTTAATACATATAAATTTACAACAATTAAAAGAAATATATGTCAAATTCAGCACTATTTAAACAAAAAAATTACAATACAAATAATAAATTACCTATATTATAATATTAAAAGGGCGAAAATAATTTAATGAAGTAAAAACTCATTGAAAGTGTACGGCTCAATTGACAACAAATATTCAAAAACACGTTTTTTAAAAAGACTAAAAGTATTTAATGACTTAATGCTATAAGGTAATTCCCATACAGCACACCAAATCACAATTACGATGTGTTCGCATTGTGACGATGTATCTAGATGCAGACACAGGGTTACACAATTCTACGATGTAAATGTGCTACGTTTACACATGGTATGCACACACGTATGCACAATGGTTAAACGTCCGCCTCACAATGTAGCCACAATACCACATTAACATATACACAAATTATGTGATCCACGGTGTGTTATCGGATACACAGTAGCTGTGTATTGTGCTTAAACTCTGCTTACACATGGCATTTGTCTCACTCGAATTGAACGTAAATATACTATTCTTTGTATATGTAGCTCTGTCGCACCGTGTATACAGTGTATACTATACACCCTGTCCAAAAAAAACTTTTGATGAGTCACTTCAGGAAAATAAGTTTTGCCGCTTGACTTTTCGTTCTCAAAACAGGTATTTTTTAAAATTTATAATATTATGTTTTTTTGAGAATGATAGGTCGGACGGCGAAACTTTTATTTTCCTGAAGTATCTCATTAAAGTTGCTTTAAAATTGTTCTTTTTTTCGTTCCACATCTTATAATATATACTTACTATTATGGAATGCTTTTACTTGGTGCCACAAAAAACAGAAGTAGAAAAACACAGGAAAATGACAGAACTTTTACAAGAAGATTAAAATATATTAAAAACTGAAATAGTTATACATTACACAGTAAAAACGCAAACATATATTATATATTATAGAAATACATTGTCAGCCTTTGCTGCAGCTCTCTTTTCAGCCATTCTTCGTTTTTTATTTTTTTTTCCTCCAGGCGGTTGGTTGCTTGTCGCAACAATTCGGATTGGGATTTGTCTATTTCCAGTTTTGCCATTTGTGCTTTGGGTTTAATTGCTTCTGTGCCGATATAGAATAGAAACTTCAGAAATATATATATAAATATATATATATATATATATATATATATATATTGAGCCATCGATAACTTACCAAATGTTACAGTATACTCCTTATAAGGAGTTCCTTAAATTGTTTGAAATCTTCTTTATGTGGTCCATTTGGATTTTTTTTTTGTTATTACGTCCAAACAAGTTAGTAGGGCTAATTCGTTCGTTATTATACGAGAATATATATGACCCACCGCTTTGTGTAATTCCTGCTTGATTGTTTTGGAATCAAAATTTGGCAAATTGGGTATTGGACAAGCGTCTTTCATAAAGAGTCGCTGCAATAATATAAAAAAAGTACCTATAGGTACTCGACAACTTATAAGCAGAGCACAAAATATCAGTTGTTATTATTATAATTATTATTATATACTATATAGGGTATTTACTTTTTAATTTAATAAAAATAATAATAATGTGCAAAACATAAAAAATACAAAACTTACAATGAATGTGAAGTAACGGCTGTTTGTTCTTAATGTCTCATTTAAAAATTGCAGCCCTTCTTACCGGTGTCGACTATAATAGTCGGCACCGGTAACGGCACCAAAGCTTCCATGTTGAACCGCTCCTATATAAAAATGTTAGGTAAGAATCTAACTTATTTATTGGATTTAAACCATTAATGGTTGTAGGCTTCATGTAGGTAAAGCCAACCCAATCTTTGCGTTGTATAAAATGTTAAGAATCATAGGTGCATAAAGTAACAATTTTATTGAACATTGTAGCACCAATATTAATAATTCCTATAGAAGTAATAATAAGTAAATATTAAAGAATTCCTATTCCTACCTTAAAATCCTTTTTAAAGTGCACAGACACCAAAGATATATCTCTGACACACACTTCCCAAATAATGAAATAAACATTGACACATGAGATACACTTGGTCGGTATTCTCACGCTGACGCTAAAAATGCTCGAATCGTCGAAATTCGAAATTTGACGTCCCTACAAGGTGCCTACAAGGTTTAAGTCATATGTATGTGTGATGCCTAATGTAATATTTGTGCCTACTGCATACACTACGAAAAAGTGCTATATATACACATGGTACTTAGAATTACATATACACTATTTAGTTGTGCCTTGTTGTGTCTACATTCGACCGTCGAATGTAGACACAACAAGGCACAACTAAATAGTGTATATGTAATTCTAAGTACCATGTGTATATATAGCACTTTTTCGTAGTGTATGCAGTAGGCACAAATATTACATTAAGCATCACACATACATATGACTTAAACCTTGTAGGCACCTTGTACGGACGTCAAATTTTATAATTCTAATGATCCATTTTTACGTTATATAAAAATGTTTAGAATCTTAAGTGCATACGGTATACAATTAATAAACATTGTATCACATAATTCTGTTAAAATAAACAATGGTGTATCTCATATGTGTACGTCAGTACTGGATCGACAATTAGATCCACCTTAACATCATCTGTTTTTTACGTGTATATCTTGTAGAGACGTAATCCAAATTGGACGTGCTGTATGGGTTTGTTAAAACATTTTATACATGAATAAAAACAAGACTTTTCATAACTCATTAAACGATGTCTCGGATAAATATAATCTAAAGATCTACTACTTTTAGATTTCAGGTACTCAAATTTGGTTCTATTTTTAAACATAAAAATTAGCAATTCATAAATATAAATTCCTGCAACTGTCAGTAGTTCGTTTGATTTGAAAAGTCCTCTACATGTGTCTTTATATTTCTTATTACATAATACTCGCACCATTCTTTTTTGAATGGTAAAAACTTTTTCAACTGTCGTACAACGTCCCCAAAATATTATTCCATATCGCAACAAAGATTGAAAACAAGCAAAATACACTGTTTTTAATGTATTTTTTTCAACATAAGTACTTAATACACGGATAAAGTAAGAGACTTGATTTAATTTTTTACATAGATGTTCAATCTGATAGGACCAATTCAAAAACTCATCAATGTATAATCCCAAAAACTTCGTTTGCGGTGAAAAATTTATTATTTTATTATTTAAATTAATATACTGAGGTGTCTCCATTCGATCTTGGGTCTTTTTAAATAAAATACAGCTGGTTTTTTCTTGATTTACAATTAACTTATTACTTTCAAACCAGTCTCTTACCCTATCTTCTACATCTCCAATCTCTGTTACAATATCTGGGTAGGTTTTTCCACTTATCAATATATTTGTATCATCTGCAAAGCTTATCAACCCATGATTTACACTTTTCACAGAATTTGCTAAATCATTTACAAATATTACAAATAATAAGGGTCCTATTGTACTTCCTTGCGGAATTCCAATACTGACGTTTTTTAGCGATGACTGATGTACCACACCATTCTCAGAGATTCTTACTATTTGGCAACGATTCGTTAAGTATGACTGTATCCACTGCAGTGCACAACCCCTTACTCCGTAATGACTTAACTTTTCGAAAAGTATTCCATGCTGTAAGCAATCATATGCTTTGGATAAATCAATAAAAAGTCCTAATGACAGATACTTTCTTTCGTAATCGTCAAAAATACGCTGCAAAAAGCTGTACACTGCAGTATCAACAGATTTACCTTTAATATAGCCATGTTGATTATTATTTATAAGCTTGTTTGAAATAAAAAAATCGTAAAGCCTAGTACACATAGAGGCTTCAAATATCTTAGAGAATGATGAAAGCAAACTAATTGGTCTATAATTATTCATCAGTGTTGGATCACCTTTTTTAAACAATGGGTTAACTACAGCTACTTTCAGTTGACTTGGAAAAATACCAGATTTTAATGAATTATTCAAAATATACAACAAAGGCTCACACAATTCAAAAACACAATATTTAATGATGGTATTGGGTATTTCATCAATACCACTGCTATTTTTATTTTTTAAATTTCTGATAATGTTTATGATTTCAAATTCAGATACAGAACTAACAAACATAGAGCGAACATTTACACCAATATCACAGTTGTAATTTGTATTCTTTATATCATTTAATAAATTTGGAGCCGCTTCCAATAAAAAATTGTTAAAATCATTACAAATTTTTTCTGGTTCACCTTTAATTCCAAATGCCCTATTATTGGATCCCTTAATATTTTTAACAACGTTCCACACCTCTTTACTTTTGTTGTCTGAATTTATTATTTTTTGACTTAAATGTTTTTTCTTAGCATTAATTAAAGCATTATTGTAATTTTTTTTCGTGAGGTTATATTCTTCCTTATAGTTAATATCACAGTTACTGAGTACATACAATATATCTAGCCTATTTTTTAAATTTATCACAGTTTGATCATTACCATATTTTACAGAGTTATGTTTACCAATTTTTAGTAGTTTTTTTGGAAAGCATTCATTAAACAAAGGTAAAAAAATATTAATAAAACTTGACCACTGTTCATCAATGTTTGTTATATTAATTGAGTAAACAGGTAACCAAGAGCAATCTTTCAGCTTGTTTCTAAAGTTTTCTTTATTGTCTGCAGTAAATTGTCTTCTGTATATTAATTTATTTTGTGTCTGTTTCTTTACTTTAAACGTTATCTTTTGTGCTCTATGATCTGACAATTGGGTGTCAACTACAATTGCCTCATACTCCATGATATTTGTGAATATGTTATCTATACATGATTTTGAAACATTTGATATCCTAGTATATTCATTTATAGAGGGAAAAAGATTAAATGATTCTAACAAAGACAGAAATCCATAGCTAGTTACATCATTTCTTTTAATATCTATATTAAAATCTCCAGCAAAGAAAACTTTATCTATATTATATAGTTTACTTAAAATTTCTTCAATTTTTATTAAAAAGGTCGATTCCGAACTTGGGTTATGGTAGACACAAACAACACACGCACTTTCTCCGTTTATCACAAACTCGACCCCAACGCACTCAACAAAATTTATTCGGGACAACTTTGCAATATCTTCTCTTTCACGCCACTGCACATTTTCTCTACAATATATAGCAACACCGCCGTGTAAACCCTGAGGCCTACAAAAACTTGTTGCCAGCTGGAATCCATCTATTTGGTAAAAGGGCAGTTCAGTACTAGAGTTGTATTCGATCGTCACTCGAGCGTTTCAATACTCTCCACAGTATAGAGGTCGTAATTTGACTTTTGAACTAGTATTAATATGAAAAATATTTTATGCTTGAAAAAAAACTATACACGACATGATTGTGATTTTTTTCATTTTATTAATAGCATATCGATCATTCTTTCGACATAACCTCTGAAATTTGTATTACAAATATACTTTACATCATATCCTCTGTGCTTTACATGCCTGAGTTGTTATGGTAAATAAAAATCAGACAAAGGAACCAAAGAAAGGAACTATTTTCAACAAAATCATATGCAGAAATGGAAATATTCAAACTACTTGCATCCATCAAAAGATCAAAACTTCTTGCAATATTGAATTACACCCTCTTTTTATACTCTCAGAAATATTGACTAGAACAGTATAGTAAGGTAGAGTAAAGAGAAGTCGAAACCGTTGCGATATTGCATTGCGCTGGTTTTGTATAATTCTCAGGGACATTAACGAAAATCATTGCCAGTAAAATTCGAAAAGCTTGAGTTTCTATGTCTCTGAAGAGAATAGTAATCCGAAGTTGCTGCACCATTGGACTGAACCCTTTTTCAATAATTTCTAGAGACATAAATGACTGCACCATTCGACAGGGTCGAGTTTCTACATGTCTGTTGAATATAGAAAATCAAAATAATGTATCTTGCAAGACACCATTGAGTTTTACTTTAACTATAGTCCGACTATAATAGTCGTACATAGGTATAGAGGCGAAAAATATAAAAACAAAGCACGATTCAATACAGTTCTGATAAAACTTTAAGATTTAGTATTCAAACGGGGAGTCATCCTATACAATTCTATATTTTTCCGTTTGCTCCGAAGGGGTCAACGAGATAAATTATATATACATATTATATATTATATTTTAACGTTTACATGTTATGTATTTATTTTTCAAATTAAAAGCACACTAAAATGTATATGGCACCGCAAAAACTATTTTTTGAAAAAAAACACATGCTTATAAGCACACGGCCGAAGTAAAAATTCTTTTGGACAATTAAATTAAATTCCTGTTTTGTGATTATTCAATATATATAGATTATAATCATTATGCATGTGATATTGTTTGGGTTATCTTAAAGAATTTTACATTTTTAGTGCTAACAGGGAATTATTTTTTTTGTGCCAAGTTGTTTTGAGCAAAAGTAACTTTTCCAAAGTTAAGCACTTTAATTTTTCAAAAAAAAAACAAGCAAAATGGGCGGACCCCAATGTTAAATATGAAAATATTTGTATTTTTAAAATTCCCCGGTCAATTTTAGCTTTTTTTTTAAATCAATGTACCCAATTTTGAAAAAGTTAGTTATGCTCTAAAAAAATATTGGCTCAAAATTTTTTTAACCGTTTTCCGCCCTCGTCTGAATTGTATGATTTTTATATTTAGGATAGCTCTGGGGCGGTGGAAGGAATTAAAAAAATATTTTTTATCTTCACGCGGTCTATAATTTAAACTTTATTGATGTCAACATTCGATAAAGAAATACCTTGTTATGGCCTAGGCCGATAAAAATTTTTATGAGGCAAGTAATTAGTTCGATTTTTTCTCGCTAGGGGTATTGTTTTGACAAATTAATCCTTTTCTAAGAAATTAACGTACTAAACTGGTTTAATTTATTTATAATAAGCACTAATTTGTTTGTTTTACTGTTATAACATTATAATGTTTAATATTTTTCATTAAATTATTGTAAAATTAAATATGAATAATAAAACAAAAAGTGTGGTTAGGACATTGCAATTTGACGTTTCTGTTGTTTTCTTTTTCTACGATTTAAATTATCTTCAAATTTTAATTTGCTTTAAGTTTTCAGTGAAATTAAATGTTAAACACAGCGTAAACATTCCAAACTACCTATTTTTTTAATAAAAATGCAAACAAATTGAAATTAGATACCTATTAATTAAACAATTAATTGAATTCAATGTAATAGCAAGAGGGTAAGTAAACCATTTTCTTACAAAAATCCATTTCTACTGAAATCATGTAGCTAGGTATTGTCAAACTATTACTGCTTCTAAAAGGAATAATAATTATTGTACATTTAATGTAATCTTTAGCTAATAAATAAATGAGGTTCTAAAAAAGTGAGGTTAGGCTGCTTTCATGTTGAATTAAATTGACCTATATAAAGTGCTTTGAAGATAAAATGTTGTATGCCATTCGGCCAAGAAGTGTCTTTTTGTGCTTCGCTCAATTGTAGGCCTCCGCTACGCGTCGGCCTTCAAACTTTGAGCTTAGCACAAAAAGCCTTACTTCTTAACCTAATGACATAAATAACTATTTTTTCTCCAAAATATTTTTTTATCATACACAAGATTCCTATATACAGGCGTTTTCAATTTTTAAAATATTCATATTTCCCTCCACCCTACTGCATAGGTATGCGCAATACCAAAATCGAACAAAAATATGTGCGTGTTTTTACTATTGCGCATGTCCTTGACATTTCAAATCACAGAACGTATGCTCTGTAGTGACAAACCCAATAAAAAATTATGATTTTTTACACATCTTTTAATTTGTTGTTTCCAACAACCCCGTATACCTTGGAAAGAAAGATTTAAAATGGTACAGTGGTGGACACGGATCCGAATTTCGAACATTTTTGCTTTCAAAATGACAAGATGTCCCCCATTGTACAATTTTTGGGTAATAAACTGTTTGTTTGGTTTTCTGCATATGTGTGTAAAAAATAGAATTATAAATGCAACATGTGCAATAATTGTAAACTTACTTGGGATAATTCTTAAAAACAATTTTAAAATATTTTTATAAGAATTAGTTAAATTATTTAGACATTTCAAAAAATAACAGGTACATGTGGTTATACATATGACCCCTATTTTAGTTATATTTTATTTGAAATGTACATTAGTATTATTTATCACGATATTTTATAATGCTACTAAACATTGTTCTGTGATAATAAGTAAAAATAAAATAATTGTTTTATTAAATCTAGTTTTAATATGGAACCTAATAAATAAAACCGGGTTTAAACAAAAGATTTTATTACAAACGTATTTGTATAAAAATTATATATGTATATATATATTATATAAAATTATGGCAAACTAAAAAGATCATGGATTAATTTGTCCATCATATTTTTGACTTTCTTCTTTATCATCTTTTGTCTTTTTACTTTTTTTGGCACTAAAACTTAAACTAGATTTATCAAAATCTAAAGTCATTAGCCCCAGATCGCCGCTAAATCGATTTTTTGCCACCTGTAAGTATTTTTTTCCTCTAGAAGAAGCCAATCTTTTATCTTGAATAATTAAGACATTGTCAGCTTCCTGAGATGCTTTTGCTCCTCCGAAAATGGAACTAGTAGTCAAATCTTCATCTTCGCGTTCTTTCCTCGGATGAATAACCAAAGTAACATGGCAATTTTTCTTGGTGGCGAAGGTTCGAAAAGCCCCAACTATAGCGTCTTGTTTCCAGAACCTATCCATATGTTTTAACTCTTCTGAAATCCCCATCATAAACTGTAAATTATCTATGATAACATGTGATATGTCATGAACATAGGTGGCATGCTCAACTGCCTCCATGACTACTTTAATACTCTGCTGTCCATGAAAAGTCATAAAATAAATTGGTAGCTTTTCAAATTCATCTGCCCATTGTTCAAAAACATGTAAGTTTTCTTCTAGTTGTATTCCAGACATTTGTTGTAGCATTGTGCGCGCTAATCTTGCGTTACGAATTTCAAAGCTTCCCCAGAGAGTATTTACGCCTTGCATTGCTAGATCCAAAGAATATTCGCTAATAAAAGTAGTTTTACCACTTCCAGTTGGGCCAGTTATTACAGTTAACTCCCCTTGTCTATGTCCTTTAAGAATCTTGTTCAACGTGGGGTATCTTTTCCACTTAATACCCTGTACTTTGTCAATATTCTGTAAGTCAGATAAAACATCAGCTCTTAAACTTGCAAAGGTAGTTATAGATTTATGAAATAAAGACTGGGCTGTAGCCAAAATAGATTTAATATCATCTGTAGTAACTAAATGAGGTAGATTATTTGTGTCTGATGGTCTGATAAACTGACATCTTTTTTGACCCAACTTTTTGGAGAACTTCCTTGAAGAGTCCCAGCTTTGGATATCATTTCCTAACCATAATATCACTTTTTTAAACCTTTCTAGGCTTGGTAAGACATATTGTGACAGTGTATTAACACCATTTGGAAGACAAGCAACACTGCCACTTGTATTAGAATCAGATAATACTAAGACATCGGCAATATTTGGTACTAAAATTATTGTGTCTCTATTTTTTTGGCCCTTTAAAACCAGCATGCCGCCATAAGTGGTGCATGGTATTACTTCCTCTTTTAAAGTTAACGAAATTGTTCTGTAACCTACTGTTTCATTTTCCGAATTTTCCAAAGGAAAATATAACTTGGTATGCTTATTATTTATTCTAATTTTTAATTTTTCCAATGAGTTTTTTGATACTAATGGCAGTTTAAATTTATACAGTATATCTTGTAAACATTCATCTGGTAATTCAAATATTAAATTAGTTGTGCATTTAACCTTTTTCAAACACTCTGTAATTTTTTCTCTTTCATTAATTTCAACTTCACTAACAGTGTTTCGTCTTTTTTCTTTTCCAACATTACCAATTAAAGTCTCAAATTGATGCCAACCGCCGGATTTTTTACAATAGCTACACATAAACAAACCAGTAGTTTTATTAACATATATTTTTGGTTTATGTTTCAAGTTTTTCTTGCAAAAATTACAGCTCGTTGTGTAGCATGCATGACCATCTTCGTAGCCCAAACTGTGTTTCTTAAACACATTTTTAATAAGTGCTTGAGACACATCCGGTATATCAGTCACAGTAACATCAGTAAAATTCTTTTTGGACGTGTAATTTAGTATATTAAAACCATACCTTGTGTATTGTGTGATATTTTTTGGTAGTGTTAAGAAAGACATAACTTATATATACATACAATCATGTTAAACAGATGTATTGAAAATAAATGAATAATTTTAATTTATTCAATCAAGTTGTTTTTAAAATATAAGTAACAAACTAATGTAATATATTGTAATACTTTAACAATAGGGTTATGTATATAAATAAAAGTTTGGTTAATGGGTTAATAACCCTACTTTTTATTGGTTCAATAAATTATAATACTTGTTCTATGTTTTATAGATTAAATTTAAGTTTAAAATTATTACAGTTTACAAATATAACATATAATATATTTTGACTTACTAAAATTATGCTTTAGGTAGGAATGAAGATGATTGTTTTATAAAACTGTCCAATTTTACTTTAAATAATTCTGATTGTATTGGTTCCAATAACTTACACATAGGATTTTTTACGACATATTCTACGTAAACCTAAAACAAAACCATATTTTATATTTACTGTTAGAGAAATATGTTATATTATTGAGACATTATACATTCTAATCACTTTAAAAGAAAAATAAAATTTGGAATACCGAGTTAAAATTTTACAATTAGGTAGTCAGTATTTGATAGGATTTAAAATCTTTTTTCTATTTGTCACTGCTCCAAAACAAAAAATAAAGGTAGTTTACTCTATCTGTAGACATAATGTATATAACAAATGTTAATTAAGTTATTATAGGTACCTATTTTAAAGTTTTTATTTTTTGGGACAAAAACAGGGTCCTACAATATGATTTCCCACATTTTAATCTTTAATGAAAACGCCAGTTTAAATGCTATTTAGAATATTTTTTGTATTAAATGGAAATGAATACTTTGCCATTTGTTTTTATTAAGTTTTGAATATTACAGAGTAAAAGTGGCAAACATATTTTTCAACAAACATTTAAAGCTGATTTCTGAAGGTTTACATCACTTAAATAGTCAATTGAGGCAATATTCCTCCAGTTTCTTAGCATATTTCTACTTTTGTCAATGGTTTGGGGATGTTGTTCAAAGACCTTCACTTTAAGGTAGCTCCAAAGAAAAAAAAATAGCATGGGACTGAAGGAATATTGCCTTAAATGACTGCCGCTAGAAGTGGAGTACATCAAAACAATATTGAAAACAGCTTCAAAAGAGTTGTGTAAACCCTCCAAGAGATCTAGGTCCCTAGTAGCAATGGAATTGGACAAGATTCTTTGTCAAGATACTTGGAGAAGCACTTTGTAAAGAATTGGACAATTCTTGACCAAGACTCTTGATCAAAATTCTTTATCCAGACTGGTGGCAGACTTGGACAAGTCTGTAACCACAATTTTACCAGATTCTTGGCCAAGAATTTTTACACGATTACACGTTAAATAGGAACTTTCAATTCAAGATTTTTGGTAAATACAAAATTTTGTTGAACTTCAAAAGTTAAGAATGTTACTAAAAACATTAATTTTCCACGATTTCTTTCCAGTAAATTCGGTTTTTATCCATAAATCTGGTAAACAATAGAATTAAAAATGAAACAAATTTTAAAAGAGTTAAAGTTTTTATGTTTTTATGTTAAAAAAAAAACCAGGTGCTCGTAATAAACATGTATTTTATAATCTTTCATGTTCATAAAGAGTAAACTCTAGTTATGTGTCAGAGCTGACACACACTTTTTTTTTAATTTTTGATTTTTAGAAATAACAATTTTTATTTTTCAAAAAATAAATTTTTTTTTTCAGCTAGAAGACGAATCCAATAAGCTCTTATTCGTATTTTCACATAAACAAAAAACTATACTCATTTCCTACAGAGAACTCACTTCTTGACTAGTATACATTATTTTGAATGATACTACTGTAGAATGAGAACCTCTACTCTATAGGATAGTCCCAAAGTTTAGCAATAGATGGCCTCAGATTTCTGGTCAAATTCTTGTCAAATTCTGGCTCAAGTCTTGCCATAGATGACCAAGAATCTGGAACAATTCTTGAGCAAAAATCTGTCCAAAGTATCTTGACCCATGCTGGGCCAAGACTTTTCCGGAATTGCTACTAGGGGTACAGCTGTAGTCTTTAGGTAAACGTGGAGTAGTGGTAACCCTATGATACATATTTTTACCTGATTATACAATTGTTGAAGCAATTCTCGAACTCCTGTGGAATGTATGTCAGTGTTTAACACAAACTTTAATCCTGAGGGTGTTTCCAAAAAATGTAAAGTGTATTTTGAGGTTTTGTAATACAAAAACCCTTCCTTTGTATCAGTAGGAGATATTTTACTAACAAACGACTTAATAGAAAATAACATACCATACATTAATTTTCCTTCCTAAAAGTGACACAAATTTAAAAAATAAATATAAAATGTTATAAATTACCTCTTCTCTTGTCATTCCAGACTGTTTAAGCCTGTTCCATTCTTGATAATAAAGAAGTAATCCATTTTTATCAAAAATATAAATATTATGGACTGTCATTTTTGACAAACCAGCTTATAAATTATCTTAACGTTTGAGGTTATGTTTATTCTAATAACTTCATTTTTGTATACAAACTATAGTTTATAAATTAAACAATATAAGAATGTACTATAATCGCCACTTTTTTTGAACATTTATAAACCACATTTAAATCAATGTCTGGTATTTATTATGAATCGCTTATATAAGTACCCATGGGTATTATTTTTTAAATTTGATGCCAAATTGGCACAGCTGGCAACACTGCTTTCTATGGCATGCTTTCTATGGCATCAGTGTTACCAGATTCTGTCAAAAAAGGACCGTACGTTTCGTTCGAATTTACCTTAATTACAAAATGACACAATGAAACAATGCAATTATGTCAAGTTGACGTTATTTAATATTGTCCATTGAGTCATTTTTGTAATTAAGGTAATGTCTGGTATTTATTATGAATCGCTTATATAAGTAATTCGAACGAAACGTACGGTATTTTTTTGACAGAATCTGGTAACACTGTATGGCATTGCCAATGGCATTATGCCATAGAAAGCAGTGTTGCCAGCTGTGCTACTTTGGTAAAGGTCATAGACCTATAAAGCCTGATTTATAGATTGCCTTCCTTACTTCCTTACTTCCTTCCTTCCTCCCGTAGAAGATAAACAATACAAAAACCTGTTTAAATATTTAAATGGAACTACGATTTTCGTATTGTTCATCTTCTACGGTAGGAAGAAAGAAAATTGGGTTCTTCTTGCGACAAAGTTAGGTACTTTTTTTTCTGTCCACTGGCAACACTGATTAAAAGGAGACAAAATCATATTTTGTGGCTAAAATGAACTGGCAACGTTGTAAGTAGTCTGACAGATAAAACGGCTAAAAAATCTTGATTTTGGCTTTAGCGATGTGTAATTTTTGTAAGATAATGGATTAAATTTACTTGAATGTTGGTTCATATTTTTTACGTTAAATACAATTTTAGCTTGTAAAAAATGTAATTAAAAATTATCTGTTAATTTTTATAAACCAAACATCTGTTTATCAAGTGGGCAAAATTTTCTAAAAATGGTTGAAGATAAAGAGAAACTGGTTAATTTAATCAGACATTATCAGGACAGCCTTAAAAGAAACTATGAAAAAAATAATGAATCAAAGGTATGCACTCAACAAGTAATAAATTGAAAAATGCCGTATAGGTATTTATTTTTAGATACTTTATAATATTGATAAACTATATAACCTCCCAATAAAAGTGCATCATTTAGAAGCTACAGGAATAGGTCGAACTGTAAATGGTTTAAGAAAGCTTGGAGGCGAAGTGGGTAATGCTGCTAAATCTTTAGTGGCAAAATGGAAGGAAATAGTTTTAGTTGAAGAAGTTGACGAAAAGGAATCAGGTAAAATTAACTTATAAGTATTAATTATAATTTTTACAGTAAATTAGGTTTGTATAATCCCTTACTTTTTCCAAAAAATTATTTCAAATTTCATAAATATGACAAAAAATTTTAGGCATACTTTGACAATTTTCTAATTTTATTTCATGTAGAGGCTCAGTAGTTTTAAAATAACAATATATACCAAGGCCCCTTGGCAAGGGGTTTACAACTAGTTGTACAAACCTAACGTAATATATTACATTTTTAATGTAATAGCAAGTTATAAATACTAAGTATTACTTAGTTATACCACCTAAAAGCAAGTAAAATCATGTAATAGGAATGTATTAGAACAAAATAAAAGGTAATACCACAGAAATACAAAGTTATATGTTGTTATATGTAATACATACATGGCTTTTGAAATAAATTACCCAGAAAACTAACTACATGTAATGAGAACTAGAAAAAACTTGTGAAAAGAATTGGGGATGCATACAATGTAAAAATTGAAGATGTGGATATAGATTCTGTTCAAACATTGGGAAAAAGTGTCTTAATGGCAAAAAGGTCTTAATGGCAATGATACATTAATCAAGATTTAACATTAGAAAATCAAACACTTAATACTCAGGTATAATGTTTATACAACATTTGTTAATATAAATACCGCCACTTGATAAAATATGTACCAATTCTGAAGAAGCTACTGTGTAGCGAAACAATTGTTAATCATTAAAAACATAAATAAATTAGTGTTGATTTTATTCATATACATATTAAAAAGAGTAAAGTCTCCAAGAAATGAAATGTATGAATTAGAATTTAAAAGATTAAGACAACAGGTGAAAAAACTTATAAAGCAAAACAAAAAAATGCACAATGAGAGACTATTTAAAAATATGCATATATATGCACCTAAAGCAGGGATCATTTCCTTACATACTAAAAATACCTTGTGTGGTACCAGTTTATAAAAAAGGCAGTATATATGATTCTATATAGGAGGCTCTCTGAATTTCTGGAGAAAATACAATTTTTAAGCCCAAAACAAAATGGATTTCAAAGGAAAAAAAGGAACACAAACAGCATATATAAATCTCACAGAATTCATATACAAAAACTTGGATAGAAAAAAGGTGGTACTTGCCTTGCTTCTTGACTTATGCAAACCTTTTCTTGTTGACCCATAAATATTACTCAAAAAACTTGAAATACTTGGAATTATGAATAGGGTGTTAAAAATATTTACTAGCTATTTCGCTGCCCGCTTGTAGTATACAGTTATAGGGAAAGAAAATAGTGATCTAAAAATATTAAATATGGTGTTCCACAAAATGTGATAATAATGCTTTAATATTAAATAATACTGTGCTAAAAGAAGTACATAGTGCTAAGTATCTAGGATTAAATTTAGACAATTCCTTAAATTTTAGTGAAGTTATTACCTACGTAAGAACTCATCATCATTAAATAACAGAACAAAACATCTAGTCTATAATGCATACATTGGCTCCCACTTGATGTACCTTCCTGCGTTTTGGGGACAGGCAAGGAAAATGATCTTCAAACTACCCAAAATAAGCTTAAAAAATTACTTTTTAATAAATCGCCTAGAATTAACACAACTGAACTATACGAATTAAACATTTTAAATATTAACGAATTAATTAAATTTGACAGTGTAAACATTATTTACAAAATAAAGAATAATTTAATTAATACAGATGTAACACTAACAAGAAACTGTGATAAGTACAATAATTATTATTCCACAAGAAATAATTTACAATATTATGTACCATCTACAATTTCAAATTTTGGAAGAAAAAGAGTTACTCAGACTGCCCTCAAATGGTTTAACAATCTCCTAGAAAAAGTCAAAAACCAACAAAACTTAAACAAATTGACCTATATGGCTCAAGAATATTATATATCAATAAGAAATAATATGTAAATATAAAAGAAAAATTGTAATACCACTGTGATATTTATTAATTATAAATATTACCTTTAAGTTTGTATAATGATTTACTTTACTGTACTGTTGACTTTTATGGTGAATAAACTGAATTTGAATTTGACCTACGTGATGTACCTGATATGGAATATTGTATTCTTTTAAGGTGAAATATATAAATTTAAAAAAATATATAACTATACAATTGTTAATTTTTTCAAATGTCAATAAAATTAGTTTTATACCTACATAAGTACTTTAAAAAGGTTCCAATAAAGAGTTGACGGCCATTTCTATCACGCGAAACGCACGAATTACAAAAATTGTTTTTATAAAAAAAATTGTAGATAATTATTATTTTATAATATTAAATTAAAAAAACGCAAGAAATATTTTATAAAAGTAGAGATAATTTTAATAATTGAAAGGTGTGGATGGGACCAAAAAAAGATTTAACTTGTCGCATCCACACTGTCAATTATTAAAATTATCTCTACTTTTATAAAATATATCTTGCGTTTTTTTATTTAATGTATAGCCTAATAAAAGAAGAATATATTTGACAATTTTGATGCAAAAATAATATACAAAAATAAATAAATAATAAATAACTTACAATTTTTTTTATAAAAACAGTTTTGTGATTTGTCCAGTCCGTATGCTTAAAATGGCCGTTGATTGAATTGATTTTCAAATGTAAAAAAATTTCAGATTAAATATACAGGGTGTCCCTTTCAAATAACTTTGTAAGAAACAAACGTTTTTGCACAAAATTTAGTATTTGGGTTTTTTTTAGGATAGATTGATTGTTTCAACCTTTACTTGATGAAACTCCATATTATTAATATATGAATAAAAACAACACTGTTTTAAAGTTTCACTAATTTATTTATGTTTATAATGATTAACAATTGTTTCGCTACACAGTAGCTTCTTCAGGATTGGTACATATTTTATCAAGTGGCGGTATTTATATTAACAAATGGCAGGTAATTTGAGAAGATAAATGTTGTATAAACATTATACCTGAAGGTATATAATATAATAATATATAATATATAATATAATATTATAATATTAGTACCTATTTGGGTTTTTTTAGGATAGAAAATTTAATTTTTCTCAACCCCTCAAAGTTGATTATCTGCAAATGGTCCAAAATTCGTTAATTACACATTAAACTCATTGAAACTTAAATTTTCATTGTATTAGTTTTCGCAGTTTCTAATCAAATATTTGGAGATTATTGGGCTCCAAAAAATGATTTGAAAAATCAGTTGTTGCTTTGATTGTTTAAAGGACGTATAAGAGTCTTTAAAAGGATACATTTTTAAATAAAAACAAATTAATTTTGTTTTTGCATAGTTTTCCTAATTATAAGCTAATAAATCATGTGTCATAGCCCTTGAATGCTGGTGATGACCCCTATTTTAGAACCTGTCGAGCACCCAGTTTCACATCAAATGTTGGGTAATTTCTGATAATTTTACAAACATTTAATTTCTTTTTCAAATTATTTTAAAAAATCTACCCTTAATCCCTAATTTAAATTACCCAATTACAAATAGGAATTATTGTTGCATAGGTAATTTATAAAGGATTACACAAAAATTATTTACAACCTATTATCTTATTACAAACATTGGATTGTTTAATCTTTTCATATATAATACGCTACCCTCAATGATCGATTTTGGGTAAAATATATTCTGTTTTATTTTGTGCAAGTGTTTTAATATGGCAGAAAAAGTGATTCCATACGGCAAGATGTGTGAAATATTGTTTAGAAGTGCGTGACTTTAGATCAGGGATTGAGAGAAAGCTGTCCAGATGTAGAGAACAAATTATTTGATGCAGTTAAACAGATAAAGAAGAGATTGTTACCAAATTTAAACAAGAAAAAAAAAGCCAAAGTTCCTAAAACGGTATAACTCCATTTGTGAACGTAATGTTGGCGGAGTGTGCAGAGTGCCCAAACTACCTAGTTTGCGTGAAAGTTGCTCCCAAGAACTCATTAATGAAGCTTCTTTGTCATCACGGAAAAAAGAACTGGATGCTGATTCTGCATTAGCCCAGTTAACTCAGGGTCAGATACAAATATGAATTCATGAGGAGGGCGGTAAAAGAAAACGGCCACAATATATTTTCAAGCTATGATAAATTACTGGAAGTTAAGAACATTAATATCAAGGATACTTCGGCCAAAGTTCCGTTGCAAGATTTACTTGACCATATAACAACAAGAATTTTTGAATCGCTTCCCGAACAGTTGTTTTTCAAACAAAATGGGAAAGGATAGGGCTTTCGGCTAAAGTGAATATCAGCAAAGTTTTCAAATGAGAGTAATGTTGCATGTGACTCTCATCTGTTCATGAGTTCCTTAGTTAATGATGATAGCTGCCGGCACAGACAACATAGTCAAACTATCAAGGTGAAGCACAAACTCTATTTCACAATGAATAACAGCAAGGGTGCTCAAGTGGTTACTGTTACTCACCAAGTAACTGCAACCTGTCCACATAGCTAAACCTTCTCAAATGAACGATTTTTCAAGGATGGGGGGCTCGATTTCAAACGAAGAAGCTCTCAAGCTAGTGATTATTATGGAAATACCTCTCGAAAATTATTATCAAATCCTTCACTGGTGGCTAACATTTCCCAAATACGAACGTTTGGATAAGAAGACTGGGTGTGATTCTAGAGGTAACTTGCTGCCTCTCGCCAATTAAGTTCAAGGAGTATTGCTCTGAGACTGCTATTCTGGTCAAAACATTACACTCGTGGTATTATACCAGCATCAGTACACAAAGTTCTCTTCCACGGAGCAAAGATTATTGAATGCGCAGCTCTTCCTATAGGCTCACTTTTATGAGAAGCTCAAGAGTGTAGAAAGAAAGATTATAAATTCTACTGAACCCATCACGCTCGAAAATGTTCTCGCTTAGCTACCAATTATGTTAAAACCTTGTTTGCAAATGCGTTTTATACAGTAAACGAATATTTATGTTTTAATTTCGAAAATTTAGAATAATGTATTTTATTATTATCTTTTATGCTTTGATGTTTTTTTCTTTATTGGATGTTAGGGATAAATAAATATTATTATTATTACTTTTATGACTCTTTTACATGTACAGTTTTAAACACAATAAATAATTTAAAAACCTCTTTATTAATTTAATTTACCTTTTGAAATAAAATGTATGATTTGAAATGCCATAAGTTTTCTTAACTTGAGGAAGCCTAATTTTTCTGAATAAGTTTCTTTATCATAAAGAGTAAAATAGTGACTCATTTTATTAATTATTTACGATAAACTTGTTATGTACTACAAACAGGGACCCGGACCCAAATGAAATAACGGTTCCTCTTTCGAGAGAAACGCCAAATTTCGATTCGGGTTCAGTTACGGTTCCAAAAAAATATTTCTATCCGGTTCGGACTAATCTTTTCGGTCCATACGGTTTTTTTCGGTTCCAAGTATCTACTTAAATTAAAAAATTAAAAAAAAATTGTTGGTAGATTTTTTTTGTCATGTATTTAAATTTTTCTCCTCTTTTTTTTTAAATCTGTTTCTTAAATTTTAGGCTCTTCATTCTCTTTTTCTTTTCTTTTATTCTCGATCAGCTGGCTACCTTTATCTTTTTCTTCTGATCTTGTGATTGAAACACTCATATTTGGAATAAGTTATCAAAAAATAAAAAACAACTTTCAGCTTTTGTTCTTCTTTTTCTCCAAAAATTCTGTTGGTTCTCGCAAATAATTGTTCCTCTAAATTTTTTTCTTTTATGTTTGATCTTGTTGGGGGAAGTACAAATTTGAGACCAGAAAATAACCTTTTTCTACTCCTATTACGGAGTTTGACCCTTCTAATATCACTTTTATCTATGGAATGACATATATTCCGTAAAGTGTTACATCATCTATCATCTGATGACAGAATAAACACTCGTGGCGACATCTCTGAATATCTAACAAATTTTAGACCGATCCAACCTCACTTTCTTCCAATTAAATTATTTTTCTATGGTATTTTTTGGAAACGTAAAAAAAGTATTGTCTGAAACACGTTTGGAATTGCATATTCCGCTCTCGTGAAACCGTCAAACTCGCCTTCGGCTCGTGTGACACACTCTTCACTCGAGCGGAATATGCTGTATTCCAAACTTGTTACAGAATATACTATTCAACGCTTACTCAAGTCGGTTTCATATAGATGAATATTCGATTTTCGTCTTATTTTGACTTGCTTAATCTGCTCCTAAATTTATGCCACTAAGTTTAGGGACACCTTGTATAATATGATATTATCAGTAACTTTTCCATTGGATTTAGGACCCCGATTTATTTGAAGTTTCATAAAAGTTTCCGCCATGGCGCGCCAGTTTGACCAATTTAGAGGTTTTTGGACAAAAACAGCTCTTTCTACCACAAAAATAGGGTTTTTGGACAAAAATCAATATTTAAATTGTTTTTCAAAAAATATGCTTTTTTCATAGTGTATTTGGTAAATTGTGGTGTAAAGGTTAAAAAATAAGTACAACTTTTTAATGTCATTTTATGAAAAATATTAAAAAAATAAATTAAAAAAAATAAAGAACAGTTATCTTTAAAATAAAATCAATTAACTATTGTGTTAGAAATTTTATATAGATAAAAAAAATTACTTTTAAGATCTCAAAAGTAAATTTTACTGCAACAAAATATTTATTATTTATTTAAAAAAATCAATATAAAGGAAAAATTATTTTAAACTTCTATTAAAACAAACCCCAAACTAACAAACAAATAAGTTAATATTTGAAATAACATCTAATTTATTAACTCAACAATGAATTTCTAATTTTGTATAAAACTACATCAAAATAAACTACATTTTCTCTATAAACTTATTATCATCATTATTATTCCGTATTCAAATACTTTTAACAAAAAACTTAGTTTTGCTGAGCTCTTATTTCCAATTTGTTTCGTATTTTGCTGTGCACAAAATTAAAGGAGGAAAAAATTTGTTCGACCCCTGCCGAAGATGCGATTGCAGTAGGTTACTTAGCTGAGCTGGTGTTATAGCCTGTTCGCATCTTTTTATGACCTTTTTTTAAATTGAACTAAGCGTAAAACATCGCTCTAACGAAGTTTATATACGCGATCTTTCCATATCAAGACATAGTCAGCGAAAAACACTAATCACCTTGTATTTTATCAAAGCTATCATTATCATTGGCTACTGGTTTCAGTTTTGATAAGAATTCTTTAGCCTTTTTTTTGTACCCACATTTTACACTTGCAGTGCGTCACGTTTTGTAGAGAACAATTTAAGGAGTTTGAAGTATTTTACCATGTGGTAACATTACTAAATTGTAAACCAATTTAGTGTTACTTTCTTAAATGGATCAAATTAATAAATCTTTTTTTTACTTTTGACCAACCCTTAATGCACATGTTGAGCCTTTCCCTTAAAAACCTAAGTTTATAGGAATTAGTTGAACATATTTTAAAATTTTATTCCTATTACAGCACGTAATTTTTTATTTTAATCCTTATTTAAATAATTTTTTTTTCAGTTTCAGCTGAAACCAGTAAAGAGAGCATTGAATCTTGTAATGAAAAAGATGATGAAGAGGATGATGAAGATGAAGAAAAGCTGACAATTAACGAACCAAACTATGATTTGGAAACTTCAAATGATAGAAAATATAATAAAAATCACGAAATTTCCAAATCGCACCATAGTCGAAAAGAAGAGAAATCAGAAAGACATAAAAAACGAAGAAAAAGCACCAGTGGTAGTGAAGATAAAGAAAGTGATGATGAACGACATCGAAAAATCAGAAAAAATCACAAGAAACGAGAACATGAATCATCAGAATCAGAAGATACTAAAGAAGAAGGAAAAATAATCAAGAAATACAGTAAAGAAGAAACAATAAAAAGCAAGAAACGTAGGGACTTAGTAGATGAAGAACCTAATTTTTCTAAATCAAAGCCCATTAAACAAAGACATAGTGATAAAGAAAATAATGAAAAAGAAAGGGTGAAAAAGCATAAGTCTAGTAAAACAGAACACATGGATAGTGATGAAGAAAATGATAAAGGAAGGGAGAAAAAGCATAAGTCTAGTAAAACTGATCGCATGTATAGTGATGAAGAAAATGATAAAGGAAGGGAGAAAAAGCATAAGCCTAGTAAAAGTGATCGCATATATAGCGATGAAGAAAATGAAAAAGGAAGGGAGAAAAAGCATAAGTCTAGTAAAAGTGAACACATGTCTAGTGATGAAGAAAATAATAAAGGGAGAGACAAAAAGCATACATCTAGTAAAAGTAGGGAAGTAGAGAAATCTTCAAGACCTTCAAGTAGCAGATCTAATAAACATAGAGAAGACAAGCATAAATCAAAAAGTGTAGATAAAGAAAACGAAGAACTGAAAATGAAAGAAGAAAGATCATCTCATAAGAAAGATACAAAATCGAAGCATAGGGAAGAAAAAAAGGAAAAAGTAAGTGATAAACCGAAAAAAGACGAAAAAGAAAGAAAAACGAAAGAACAAAATTTTGGCAAAACAGAAGAGAAAAATTCAAAAAAACATAAAAGTTCTAAGTCCAGTAAAGAAGAAAAATCTACATCTACAAAATTGCCTGTTGATAAAGTTATTAACGGGATCGATTCTGGTTCAGGCGCGAGTTTTGCAGAGGCACTTGGCATGTGTGTACCAATAAAAAAAGTTATTTCCTCTTCTACTAGTTCAAAAAAAAAGGTTTCTTCAAATTTGGCGAGTAAAAATGACGCTTCCTCTTCCGGTCATTCCTCTTATAGCAATAGAGAAAAACAGGAACCTTATAAGGCTGAGGTATGTAAGATCAACTTTACTCCGCTTAAGAAATAAATTATCAAAATCTGCTGCTTTTAATATACAGCATTTTAGCATCAAAATAATACTGCCGTGGTAAGCTAAATCCCCGTATCTGCAATATTAAGTAATAAAGGACAAAAAATAATTTTTATTAAAACTATCTTTTGTCCTTGTTATTGTACATACAGGGGGATTTGGCTTAGCAGGGCAAAATAGTCAGAGAGATATCAGGTCATTATATTATCAATCTTCTTGTAAGCCTAGTAAATTGTATTGTAAGTTACGAGAGCTGTTAAAAATTTATACAAGGTGTCCCGAAACGGTATACTAGAGGTTCTTCAAGGGTCTCTACGGTATACTACGCTCTAAGAGAGCATATTTAAATATAAAAATCAATGATTTTTATTAAAAAAATCAAAAAAATCAACAAAAAATGATTTTCTTGATTTTTCTTTTATTTTTTTAAATTATAAGCTTTTTTTAATTAAGTGTCCTATTAAAAAAAATACTAAAAATAACTTAACTATAATAATATTATATTGGCACTACTTTAGAAACAAATAAACCACCCTCCTCAACTGTCATATATTTTTTTGAATATTTCGTTTATTTTACATTTTATTTAACAAAATAAGCAGTTTTTCTATGCATATGAATTTATTTAAATAGTGTCAAGATATTATTGTGCTTTAGTTTTAGATCTTTTCAGTGTTTTTTTTAGATTTTAGAAACTTTTATTAAAACTGATTTAAATCATTGAATAAATAAAAAAATCACTTAATTTAAATCGTTGCTTTAAATCGTGATTTAAATCAAATAGTTTAAATTAGGCGAACCCTGTTACAAGCAACCTTGTTAAGTTAAATTTGAATAAGATTATTAATTAATAGGTATTTAGTGAATATGAAATTTCCCAAGTTTCAAAATCAGCATTCATGCATATCTGTGTGCCAAATGTATTTAAAATAACTCGGTGAGATACGTAAGTAGTTATTAAAATTAAACTTTATTATCGAAGTAAACTCATTTTTGATCGTCAAAAAAGTAACATTGTTAATTTGGGATCTTATCTACAAGGTTCAAACATTAGGTACATAAAGTACCTACCTCTATTTTTAATGTTAGTGCGGCATTTTTGTGTAAATTCATTTTAACATTTTAAGAGACTTAAAAACCGAAACAGAGAACCCAACAGTAGCAACATCCCCTTTTAATAGTTTTCAAATATTTGTGGGATATATATATTTGGCCAATATCTTAGAATAAGTTAAAATGGATTTATCGGCTTTTGCATGTTTGCTCCACATTTATGCAAACGCAATTTTTTAATAACTTTTTTAAAAATTTAAAATTGAATTTATGCCAATTTAAAGTTTTCAGTTTTGACTAGAGATGGGAAAATTCCCATTTGACGAAAATTCCCGGAAACTTTCCATCGAAAATTCCCGAAATTTTCCGAAAGTTTCAAAAAAAAAATTTTTATTGCGAAAAAAATTTTTTATGCCAGTGTTTTTTGTGATGATGCTGAATAATCCGGCTTCATTGAGGTTATGTAACATAACTTACATTATTTATACTTCTTCTTCTGCCTTAAATTAACACACATTAAATTCTTATTCAAAGTTTATTGGCCTTGTATCCATGGCCTTAACGAAAATCAGCGGTTAGACAATTGACATTTAAATGAAAAAAACAAGGAAAGTTTCCAAGGAATGTTTCCAAGGAATGTTTCCGGTAGCTTAAAAGAAACTTTCAAAATGAAAATAAATTGCCAATTGGAAACTTTCCAAAACGGAAAGTTTCCTTAAAATGGAAACTTTCCGATTCCCATCTCTAGTTTTGACACAAACTGATAATACATCTGTTCCTAGGCATCTACTATGTTAACGTGAGCTACATACAGTGCTTGCAAATCCAAGTCCGACCGCGTTGGGAAGGATGGTTGTTCAATACCCGCGTGAAAAGAATAAGGATAGAATGCCAAACAGAATTTGATTGGTCAGAGCGTCAGGCGTGCGTATTGTAAGCGCCTTCTGTTTGGCGTTCTATCCTTGGTAATTTCACGCGTCCTTCCCAAACCGGTCGGACTTGGATTTGCAAGCACTGTATGTGGTATTTAGTATTTTTTAACTTGCTTAATAACTTGAAAAGTGCCTATGCAATATTTTTTAGTTAGTGCGCCATATTCGAGTCACAACATGTGTTTAAGTCTTACAAAAAGACAGTTCCTTGAATGGCCCAATATCACAACCACTAAAGCGTGCTTCCCTAGGGGGCTGTAAAAAGATCTATTTGAAGTATTTAAAACACTTAATTCATTCGGTCGTTGTTCAACAATGCAAATTTTCCAAATTTGCTCCTCCTAAACTTTAAAATGAAAAATTTTATATGTAGGTTTGTAATTCTTTGAGGGTATAAATTTAAATGTATTTTTCATATATTTGCTATTAAAACCGTGGTCATACAAATATTGATATTCTTTTAACAACATCTTAATTTCAGATTCCTAAATTGTTAATAGAACCTTATGAGCCAGTAGACTTGAACATATCAAGTCTTTTGCCAAGCATAACCCCCAACTATCGGCCTCTTGGCAATGCTGTGGCAGTAGACGCCCCATTTAAACGAACGCTTACTGACTACGAAGCGCTGACCCACGTAATTACCACTAAAAACCAAAGGACTAAGGTATATTCAGGCAACAAAGTCACCAACGGTATAGTGCCTTCACTCTTTGAACTTTGCGTCAGGATACTACAAGATAATCTTGATGGTAAGTTGAATAAGAAAATTGTTAACTTTATTTATACAGGGTGTTTCTAAATAAGGTTATTTCAAAAAGGAAGAAACATTACATTATATTTTTAATTCTTTTTACATTTATTATAGTACATTATCTAAAAGGCGAAGGTATGAAGAAAAAATATTTTAATTATTAATTATAGTTAAGTTTAAATGAGTTTTAAGGTATTTTTTATATCATTGGCCGTTTTTTTACAATATGCGATTAAAGTTACTATACTTTTAAAAGTATACATTTGGTTTTTTCATTAAAAATGTATTTAAAAATGCCATAAATTGGTAATTTGACTGATTTTTAAAGCCCGCATTACACTCTGCAATCCAACGTGCAATAAGCTATACTCTTGCACGAAGGCTTGCGCATAGTGACGCGTCGCGACGTTTCGTGCAAGTTTATTGCCGTTTCAAAGTATCGGTATTCCTTGATTTTTATTGCCAGTTGCCTGCAAGTCTGGTGGAAAAGTTGGTAACTTTTTTTATTTCAATCCACACTTTAAATTCCTTAGAAATGCTGGTTAATTTTTTTAAGTAATTTTGTTTCTTTCTATTCTAAATTTCTGTACCATCGCCCTTATCAGAATGGCATTTAACCATGGTAATTTTAAAGCCCATCTTTTTAAAATCGGGCTAACAGACAGCCCATTTTGCTCGTGTAATAATACTTCTGTGAGTGATTTAAACCATATATTTTTTTCATGTGAAAACTATCAAATAGAATCAAACTTATTAATAAACTCCTTGTTAAGCAACCCAAAAATACAACTTCCAATAAATATTCAACATATACTGTATTTATCCATTGAAAATCCACAAATATTGTATTGCATAAAACATTTCATGAATTCCGCAAAAATTTTAATCTAAATTTTATAGGTTAGCTTCGTTTTCCTTTTGTCCTTCCTTATGTTAATAAAACTTTTCCGAGGTCGTACCTGTACTTGTCAAATGTATGTAAATGCTCAGATCCGACCCCTGAGCGAGAAGCGAGTAACCCTGTCTATATCCCTTTGAATGTCTGTAAATTTTCCAAAGCTTTTGTTGTGCATTAGGTTCATTGATAAAGTCAAATTAAGGAAATTGTAAAAGTTAATATTAAACAAGTCGTGGCTGTATAATCACAGGATTAAAGCCAATTAAATTAATTAAAAAAAAAATTCTAAATTTCATTACATAATATATATTATAATGTCGTGTGGCAGGAGTTAAGTTTAATTGTAATTGTAATTTATAATATTTTATAAAATTATTTATTTTTCTTTGTTTGATATCATGCAAGTTGGAATTGGAATTGCAAAGTGTATTATAAACTATAATACACATTGAAATTCCTTAATTTATAGTCAGCAATAAAACTTGCATGCAAGAAAAATTGCTGCAAGAAAAATGGCAGACTGTAATACGGCTTAACTCACTTCATATAAAATTTTCCAACTTAACAAATATATGGGTTAAACAGTGCACACAGCAAACGGAAAATTATAGAGGTGTATAGGATGACGCCACGTTTGAATATGGTTTTCTAAATATGGTATATGGTTTTTTTTGTATTTTAATATATTATTGTTGTTAATTTAATTTTATTTGTATTCATTTTATAGCTCTTGAGTATACTGGAGGCGTACCATATTCCATTTTAAAACCTATTTTGGATAAAGCCAATCCAGATCAACTTTATATGATGGAACACCATAATCCTTACCTTATAGAAGACACAGATGAACTTTGGCAACTTCACTGCAACAAAGAGTTTCGGTTGGTATTTGAAACATTTACAAATTTTAATTTTACGATATTTTTCTTCTAGATTACAAAAAAGAGAAGAGATGGAGTCCTGGAGAGATATGTATATGAGGTGTTTGGATGAACGGGAGGCAAAATTAAAAGCATTGACGGCTAATATTAAACAATCTCAGGACAAGTCCACGCCTGTAAGGCAAACGAAATTAGCTTACGTTGATGGTGTTGTCAAACCACCTAGGAATATTATACGAAAACAGGTAAGAATATATATTCTCATATAAGATTTTTTAAGAGTTAATAGTTGGCAAATGACCGGTCACGTTGTGAATGCGACCGTCACTAATGTATATGTATTTAAAAAAAGCTTGCATCAAGAGCTTTTAATGATACATTTGATTTAGTTATACGTGTAAACGTTTTTTAAACTACCCTACAAATGTTATAAAAAATTATAGTTCACTACTACTTTAATGGGTTACCATACTTTTAATTAAAATAATTATGCATTCTAAAATGACAGGCACACAGTGTTTCAATTCTCAAAATTTTCGGCAAAATATCAAGGAATAGACGGATTCTCCCAAAAACCCGTATATAGAGGTTTTTGGGGTCGCTGATAACGAACCTGGAATCAGAATTCCAAAATTCTAAATGGTAGATCCAAAATGGCGGACATATTTGTCAAAAAATTGACAGATTAAATTGAAAATCACCATACAGGGGTTTTTGGGGTCGCTGATAACGAATCTGGAATCAGAATTCCAAAAATCAAAATGGTAGATCTAAAATGACCGACATATTTGTCAAAATATTGACGAATTAAATTGAAAATCACCATACAGAGGTTTTTGTGATCGCTGATAATAAATCTGGAATCATAATTCCAAAATTCAAAATGGTAGACCAAAATGGCGGACATTTTTATCAAAAAATTGTCGAAATTAATTAAAAACCCGTAATAGGTTCTTTTTTTAAAAAATAAAACATCTTTTTATAAACACAACACAAATAACCACAATTCAAATTTGGCATTAACACACTACAATGCGCATGCGGAGTTGTTTTAATGCACCTACAAGAGGTGGGTTAAATATGTAAAATCGGTGTTAAATATCTTGGTAGTCACGAACGATTTACGCAAGTGAAAGTCTAGACACCGCTGTTGTAATAAACGTTTTGAGTTAAATCCGAGTGAATCGAGTAAACGTCATGAACGCAACCCAGAAATAAAAAAAAAATCTTATATTTTGTAAAGCAAAAACACAGATACGCGCGCGACATAGGCTTAAAATCGCGAGGTTTTTTACCATAACCGTGCCTGAGCGCCCAAGAACATGTAGTTTTAAAAAGCCAGGGGCGAGTAGGGGCAGATAATTTATTGACGGCTTGATATACAAAACTCTAAGCTATTCATCGGATCTTAAACTGATGCCTTACAATTCATTACAATTTTGTAGCTCCATTGTTCTAAAAGCTCGATTCAAAGTTTGCGATTTTAACAGATTTAAACAATAATAATTTTCCGCAGCGATCGCGTGTAAAGTACCTTCAACTGATCAAGTTTAAACTGATGTACAAGACAAAATATACGTATTTTTTATAATTTTTTTTTCAATATAGGATGGAGACTGGTATTAACTACCCATCTAACTCAAAATTTACCTGAAAAAGGCAATTTTTGAGATTTTGCCGATATTTTCGAGAATTGAAACACTGTGAGGCATTACAATTAAAGACATGAGTGAATAAAGGTGTTAAGTTACATTTAATTTAAAATTTATTTGTTTTATAAAATTATAACGTTAATTACTTATCATTAACCCTTAATTAAGGGCTATAAATTTAAAAACTAAATGTTTTATGACTGCAGAACGCCTAGACCACAATAATTGTGGCCTGGACCAGGTTTAGAACACAGAACAGATTCTGTTCAACAGAACTTCCTTCTTTATCAATCTGAACACAGATAACTGTGCTCATATTGTTTCAATTTTTTTTTCAACTCATTCCTTGAGTCATTTCGCACAACAAAACGTTTTGAACGTTTAATCTTTTAATGTTAGGATTCAAGCCAAATTTTCTTGTAATTCGTCCTCGAAATTTAAAATCGGTTACATTCGAAATTCAGTCCGTCACTTATGTGACGGTCATTTATGAGAGTGAGTCACTTTAAGTGACGCTCAACTCTTATAATAAGAATAAGGGATTTTTTTTTAATTACATAAGGTGTAAAGTTTAATGGTTCCTAATAACTTTTTCGTCTACTGACCACAAATGAAATACTCAATGTCTTTCAGAAATTCCGATTTTTTTAATGGTATTATGTAGCAAAATACCTGAAAGATGTTTATTTCTGAAATAAAAATAAAAAAATTATTAATTATACTCATACACGTATTTTACTGATTTTTCGTATTATTGAAGCTATGCTTCTTAACCTCCGTTTCGGGATTTTCGGAATGGGAAGTTTAGCACAGAAAAGCCCACCGACCGTCGCAAGATCTTTTATAGTCTGTGGATTTTGTGACGAGTTTTATTGTCGACCTAAAAAAGATGACAGATGACAAGCAAAAATATCAAGCAGGACTTTGATACGTACTTGTCAAAGTGAATAGTGACGTGTTTTTAAATAGTATTAAAATCTATTTTTAAATAGTATTATAAGCTGTGATTAAAATTATTAATTTATTATTAAAATTGTGAATTTCTTATTATGTTGTGTAGTGATACCGATAAATCATGTAATTCTTTCAATAGAAATTAAATAATGATTGTGGCAGATCTTCATTATATACCAAGGTAAATTTAGATTAATTATTTTTTATTTTAATAACAGAATCATGGACGATGTCGGCGACGTCGCAGGAGAAACAAATTGGGCAGTTTAATTTCTCAGGAATTGTTTGTTCAATTTAATAATTAAAAAATATCTATAAAATCTTAGTTTTATTTCAAAAATTACATAATTAAATGGTTTATTATCAGCATTAATTTAGGTGCATCAATTCACTGACAGTCGTGTCAAAAATTACTTTAGATTAAAATGTTAATTGTGTAAAAACCAAGTAGGATAACAAAAAGCAAAGAAGCTGACAGGGAATTTGACAGAGTCAAAAAGAAAAATCATATACACAGGGACCCAACAAAATTATCAGCAGAGCTTGTTTTTCTTGGTTTTAAATGACGACTCAAAGATTAATTGAACTGTCAAAACTATAGGTATATAGTAATGATTGTTAACACACTCAATTTTGTGTTTGCAAAAGACGCTTTTTTTAAACAATCTAATTAATTTCTTGAGTCTTTTAAATTTTTCTCTTCCAAGTCCTTTTGAAAGAGATCCGCTTCTTGTCTGGCTGTGTCGATCCAAATAACGTTGATCAAGTCCTCGGCGTAAAGATCCTTAATGAAATTATACTTGATATCGACGTGCTATAAACGTTGATGCTGCCATTTTTTTAGTAATGATACAAGAAGAATTGTCCTCGTAGTCCAAAATAGGCTCGCAAATGTTTTCACTCGGTTCACTGCGGTTGGGGTCGTCAAAGCAATTTATTCAGCTTCGGTAGACGAAAGTGAAACACAGTTTTGCCTCTTTGCGCCCCAACTTACAGCATTTCCGTAAACCTTGCTATGATACCCGAAGGTCGATTTTTGGTCCTTGTCGCTTCCCCAGTCTGCATCTGCAAAACAAACCCATATAAATTGGCTTTTAAGCCCCTTTTCGTAAGTTTACAAGACCTTGATTGACCTTGATGTATCTCAAAAAAATTGATTGTGTACATCAAGCAACCAATGAGTTCGCGGTTGCTCGGATTCGAGTTCCAAGGGCGTTGCAACGGGCTTGCACTTAAACATGTTAAATTTTTTCAAAACGCTTTTTAAAAATAATTTTTCATTTTCCCTGCGAATTTGAATTCTTAAGAAACTTTCCGGTTTGCCAAAATCCTTCATTCTCTCCGGCAACTACGTTATTAATTTTAAGGTGACCATAAAAATAAGATAGACTCATTAAAAAAAAATGCTCAAAATTGTTTAAACAAGGCATCTAGCAGCTATTGGAAGTTGTGTATTTTTTGACAGTTTGTCCCTAGATTTTAAAATTGTCCACATTATTTTGGATTTTGCCATCAAACCTTTAAAATTCAAATAGCCTAAAAATGTATTTATTATATAAAAGTTTTCAGTGGAGTTAAAGACTGAGGCGAAAAGGGGAGCAGGCATCATTATTAAAAAATTAACTCCATTATATTATATTTTTATGAACTGCATACTAATAAAAATAATATTTAATAAAAAATAAACTGTATAATAATTTTAATATTATTTAAAAATCAACCCATAAAGGCAAGCATGATGAATTAATTGTAATTCTTTTACAATTGTACAATATCACAGTTATATCCTGCAATGTGTTTGGAATTTGGATTTAATTCTTTTTTTGGTACACACTTTGCAAAAATATACTATATATACTATTATGTTAAATGATAACCATATATTGACATAGTCTGGACTTTCCTTTATACTTTTCTAATAAAATCTCTTTTTATTATTGTCAAAACTTTTTTAACGTATACATTTTGTTTATTTTCTCGTAGTTTTATAAAAAATTTGGAATTTGTTGTCAAGTTTATATTATTTAAAATGTTATTTGTCGGATAGTTTAATTTTACGTATTTTGTTTTTAGAGATGTCCTTTTTGTTTTTACTTTTATCGTATATTGATAACCTATTTGAAATAAATATGAAATAATGTATTACTGTCAAGTTACATTTTTTTGTTAATAGGTAAACGATTTAAATATAAAATACTTATTTAGTAAGAAGTTGACTAATAAATTTGTTCAAATAAAAGGAAAAATTCTCCTTGAATCATGTTGTATAATTGTTATTTTGTCATAAAATAAAATAAAAATTTAAATTTTGGCTCAGCTTAGTGCGTAAAGTCGGGCCTACAATTGTCGCAGGTCGCAGATCGCAGGACATAAGCTTGCGCAAAGCACCCAGTTGACAAAAGAACCTTACTCCATCGCAACGTCGCGGGGTGCTTTGCGCAAGCTTATGTTCTGCAGGCTGCGACAATTGTGGACCCGGCTTAATATAACCTTGATCCGCCTCTGGTCAAACTTCTTCGTAATTGCTAAAAAAATTTATTATCAAACAGAGTTTGTTCTCATACTTTTAGGTTAAACAAAACTATGTTTTTTCTTAAAAAAACGTGGAGTTATTTTTAATTTTCGCATGTTACTTTAAAATGAACAAGTATTATTTTATTATTTAAACTAAATTAGCCTTTGAAATTTGTGTAGTGTACAAAATGTATATTTTAGGCAAAAAATGGAACAGTTTTTGACAAAAAACCCTCTCAAACTCCCTCATCTAGGTTAAACTCATTGGCTACAGCAGGTGGAGAGTCAGTACCTAATCCTGGAAGTAGAGCTTCCACGATGAGTAGATCAAGTTAGTAAAATTAAATAATTTATGTTCGATATATTTTTAATACATATTTTCCTAGGTTCAAGTTCCTCTGCTATGAAACCTAAAAAAGCCCCTCTAATGGCGAAAACTCTATCTTTTATGAAAAATAGATTTAAGAGATAGAAAATTATTTTAATATATAATATGTGTACAATATTGTACATATTTAAAAATGTTTGTTTGAAATTTAAACCCTCAGTCTTATTTATTAAATTTTTTTTTACTATAAGTTGACATTTTAAACAATTTTATTGTAGAGACAAAGTTTTAAATTGTGTTTCTGCAATGAATTAATTTTTTTCATTGTGTAGGTATGTACTTTTTAACATATTTATTATTTTTTGTGTATTTTTTTTTAATGATTTTATCATGTGATTTATCTTAAAACGAAATAAAGATTTAACGTTTTTATAATTATATGTTTTATATTACATTCCTTAAACTTTAGTGTAACCTATTTATATGATTTTAAAATATATATCCAGGGCAGTTCCCAACTGTTTAGCCAGCTACGGATGTGCAAAATAAAATTGACAATCATTTTTGTACAAGGTGGTATGTCCAATGTTTAAAAAAGTTTAGTGATTCAAAACTCGATTTTTTTTAGGGTGACAGTAAAACAAAATTTGGTCGTGCCGCCACCCAAAAAGCTTTGAAATAACTCCAGAAAAAATTGCGCTCATGAAACTTTTTTTTATCGCACAATGTTTTTTATTTATTTATTTATGACCCAAAAAATAATACAGAATTCAATAGCAGGTAAAAAAGTAAACATATTGAAATAGATACAATATTAAAAAGTTTTATCTTATAGTTGGGTAGTAGGGGATCCAAATCCCGGGGCCAAAAGGCCAATTGGGACTTCGAGACCCGGCTGAAAAAACCGGGACTAGTCCCGAAGTCCCGAATATGGCAAGTAGGTAGATCTTTACCTTATTTACGATATGACTAGAACGAGTGGTAAATAAAACAACTGTCTCATCATGAAAAAAAAACTTTGCTAGTGCATAACAAATAAACATGTAACATAAAACAAAAACTTAAACTATTCTTAGTAGGTACTTAGTTTCTACTTGTTGAGGTACACAAATAAAATAAAATAAATGTAAAAACATAAACGTTTTTCGTTCTCGGTTGGTTAAGGTAAAATTTTAAGGAACCCAAAGCATTAAGGTATTTATTTCCCAAAGACGATTTTACTTTAGTAGCATAAGAACCGGCAACTGAGAAAGATCTCTCGGCTATTTGTAGGCCAACTGCAAGAATCGGCCACAATTACTCCCGTTCTAAAACAGAGACATTTCCTTCTGTATAATGGTTTTAAAGCTGCCTAGTTCAGTTGGAATGGCAGCACTTTGTAACTCTATCTTTGTATTGTTCAATGCCATGTTCAATTTTTCTTCCAATAATGTGAAAGTGGAGTCAACTTTATCTTGGCGTTATCTAGGGTTGGTAAGGTAACTCATTACTTGGGAAGCTGTGGTTCTTCTCTAATTTACGCGCGCTTTAAGTGAAGCGAACAAACGAATACTTAGGGGGCTATTTTTTAGCTCCTCAAACATAAAATTAAAAACAATATCAGCTATGTAAAGATTTGCATCACTGCGACACAAGGCTAACACAGTAAGCCTGACAGGCTCCAAACAATTCACAATTGCTGTCAATGTTTCAAACTTGGCATCAGTCAATGTCATACGCTAAAGAAGTATCGCTAGTAGCGCCACCACTCGGCTGTTTTCATCGTAACAAAACTACAACTTTTGATAATCAGCTGTCAAACGCGTGTGTTACAAACGAGTGTTTTTGAGAATAAAGCCAGAAAATGTTAAAAAATGTCGAAAAAAACCATGGCACGATTTGTTGTGTTGTTGGGTGTATTTCGAGAGGAAATCCTGGGTTGAGTTTTTATCGGTTTTCCAATAAACAGTGTTAATTCGAATGAAGAAATAAACTTCATACAGTCCCTGTAAATATAAATTGTATCTATTTAATAGATTCTATTAGATACAATAAATACACATTTTAGTAATGATTAACGTGAAAAGTGTAAACATTTCAATTCAGTAAAAATCGTCAAACTAATAAGTCGTCTAAATTTAAACATCATTTAGCATTATTAAAACCGTTGATTCTTTAAAGTCTCCACTCAACGGTAAAATACCATTATATTGTGTAATATTTTGTATTGCCATGAATTCGTAGGTATATTTTGTTGTTTTGTTTGTTTGTTTTGTTGTTGGTAAAATACCATTATATTGTATATAATTTTATATTGCCATGAATTCGTAGGTATATTTTGTTGTTTAAAATGCAGTTGGTTGATTTTAAGGTTTATTTGTGCAAAAATTATTTTTTACTAATTTCTTAAAAATGTCCAAACTTAAATATAAATTATATTAGGTAGGTAAAGTTATCATTAGTTAATTCTGCACCAACAAATGTACTTATAAGTATACCGAATCGGATCCTTGGGCAAAACTTGAAAATGCAACGATTTAGTTCTTGAATTTTATTTACAATTACACAATAATTCACCATGATCCCTTAGATAAAATATACACACTAACGCACAGTGGGAGGAATTTCAAAAATCGCGGACAAAATTAGGGACACATTATTTCAAGCCATTTTAAGGTTTATGCGGTGGTAAATTTATGCTAAAATGTTAATATTAATAAAATGTTTTAATTATGTACACAAATTCACAAATTTGTTTTAAACAATTTGGAAAAGTTCGGTATTGTCGATCCTCCATTTTCCAAAAACATAAATTAATAAACAAATATATTACGCAATATTACCTAAGCTAAAAATGAAAAAATAAACAAAAAAAACAATTACAATTAAGGAATATTCAAGCTAAATCACTTATATACATTTTTTTCGAGACATCTTTTCTTTGTAAATTTCGCATCTTTTGCTTTATTTATATCGACTACTAGAGTGACTTGGTCCAAAAAACCCCTTTATCGATGTTAAAATAACATTTAAAAGTTGACTTTAAAGCAAAACCGGTTAAATCCACGTTTTTTACCTACTCTCTAAAAATGAATTAGTCAAAAATGACTAATTTAATAGTTATTATTGGCTGCTTTTTTACTTGTAGCATAGTTAACCATGGAATATAATGGTATCCCAAAATTTAACATCCAATTCTTATGTAAAATTTTCCCCTGAATCCGAAAATGCCATAAAAAATTATGAAAGTGGAGCAGTTTTTGAAATATAGTCAATTCCATATTAAATGAAAAATTGACTATATCTCAAAAACTGTTTTACTTTTTTAACTTTTGACGATATTTTCGGATTCAGGGGACAATATTAGATTTATCAATAATATCCAGGTTTTCGGTTAGATACTTTAAAAGTTTGTTGTGTTTTTCTTTGTTACTAACATTTTTAATTAGTTCATACAACTCCTTATTAGTCGTTGATGGCATTTCTACATAAAAAGAAGCAAGTTATTCAAATAAACATGTAATATTTATATTAATATTAATATTATAACTTACCAAATATTATTATGAAGCGTTAATAAACACAAAAACACGATGAGATTGTATGTATGATTGACTTTTACTGGAAACTGACGTTTTAGAACTAGCAAAAGGCAACTATGATGACTTATAAATATTCGACTAATATGATAAATTCATGGACATATTTCATATTCTGCTGACCAAACAGGCAAAAAAAGGCAGCTTAATTCTTTTGACTTTAAAAAAAGAAAATTTGATGAACGTTCTGGTACCAAATACTTTGCGTCACACCAAGGCACACATAACGAAATATCTTGTGGTTTGTAAAAGATTTATCTACTTTTAAAGGCGATGGTAAAAGGTTTATAAAAACCGTATTTATGGTAAAATTTGCAATTTTAGACTTTTATATGAAAGAACAAGGATAAGGAATGTAGTAAAATATACCATCATTTCCTTTCATTAATTACGCAAAACAAAAATGGGATTAAAAAACTTACATACAATTTGCTCTAAAAAACCGACACGAACAATGTGACTTTTTAAGCAAGTTTAAGCGGGCATTTTATTATAAAAAAATATATTTCTTTTAAAATCATAATCTCTGTGCTTTCTTTTTTTATAACTCGTAATTTAAAATTTACTATGTTGATTTTTACAAAATAGGATTTTGTCCGCGATTTTTGAAATTCCTCCCAGTGTGTAACGTAACTATATAAGCATTTAAGCGTTGAGTTTCTTAATCATTGATACTAGTGAATTAAACTGTCTTGGACTATCTTCATCTTTGATTCTTTTATAACACAACGTTTCAATAAACTATCTGTGATCGTTTTTAAGTGTAGAATGATCAAATTTCAAAATGTAAAAACTATATATACACGACTCCGTTTCGGTTTACTGACACATGTCTTTGGTTCACTGATGCTTGTCTTTCGTGCTCCGATGATTTTTCCAGTGTTAACTCGTTGATTTTATGTAGTAGTGGCTTCCATAGTGGCTTAATTTCCACGCTAGTCTGACTAAACACATTCCGATTTTGTTGGATGTATGCAGCTTCAGTTTTCAAGTGTAGAATGATCAAATTTCAAAATGTAAAAACTATATATACACGACTCCGTTTCGGTTTACTGACACATGTCTTTGGTTCACTGATGCTTGTCTTTCGTGCTCCAATGATTTTTCCAGTGTTAACTCGTTGATTTTATGTAGTAGTGGCTTCTATAGTGGCTTAATTTCCACGCTAGGCTGACTAAACACATTCCGATTTTGTTGGATGTATGCAGCTTCAATAAATTTTCTTTTTATGTATAGTGAGCTTCTTTGTGTATAGTTTTTGTCTCGTTCCATAGAATGTTGTGGTGTTTCTCCCAAACGTGGTCCGCTACTCCTGATTTTGTTATTTCTCCTTTGCTTGTGTGTGTTTTATGTTCTTTTATCCTCACTTGTATTGGTCTTTTTGTTTCACCGATATAAGCTTCTCCACACTCACATGGGATGTGGTAAGGTGTGGAGACAAGATTTTCGTCAAAATCAACATACGAACATTCGCATTTTTATCGTTTTTACTGCTCTCGGGTTTGGTTTTGGATAATGCACTTCGTAATGTTGATTTTGACGAAAATCTTGTCTCCACATAACCGATCGACTAGGTGTGGAGACAAGATTTTCGCCAAAATCAACATTACGAAGTGCATTATCCAAAACCAAACCCGAGAGCAGTAAAAACGATAAAATGCGATTTACCACATCGCGCTCACGCAATAATACTACCATCAGTTGTTTACATTAAATTGCCGACAAGGAGTAAATAAAAAAATCTAGTTGGCCATCACCTTTCCCAGGCAACACTTTTGCCTACGTATTTTGGAATTAACTAGTGAAACTTCTGGGAAAAGAACAAGCGTTGAGATGGGCCTAAAACACTAAATTTGGTCTCTAAGAACTACCAAGGTGACATATTTGAGGAAAATGCATGTTAAATGCTTCTGAAACATCCTGACACTCTTACAAAAAATTGTATGCATACGCAATTTAAGACTATGGATAAATTAGTTGATAAATATTTTTCCACCAAAACGCCAAATTTGGACTAAATAAAAATGCACATACAAACATTAGTAGTTATGTTTAAAGCTGCTGATATATATATATATATATCTCAAACTTTAAAAATTCATGTCCACCGCGAGTTTATAAAATATGAAATAAATACAAGATAAACAACACTTGGCACATCCTAACTTCAAAGAGTCGTTAAAAAGAGGAGTTGTAGAGTTTCCATTAAGAAATATTTAATGCTTTTTCTTATGTTGATAACATAATAATATTTGACAATTATTAAGTACTTACTTGTCTTTTTTGTTTTATATAGGTAATATTTGTTTTATATAGGTAATATTTCCTTAAAGAAAAATTAAGCTGCAATGTTGAAAGTAACCTACGTCCATGCAGTGGCGTATTTAGGATTTAGCTCCGGGGGGGGGTCCAAAAAAACTAACTAAATATGTATACATATTTAGTTAGTTTTTTTGGTCCCCCCGGAGCTAAATCCTAAATACTATACTATGCTATGCTTTAATAACTAAAAAAATCACAAATTAGGAATTCTTCTGATCCGATAAAATTGTAAATAAAAGGAACTTTTTTTGTAATAAAAATAATAAAATATGTGCGCCCGGGGGGGGGTCCGGACCCGGCGGACCCCCCCCTAAATACGCCACTGCGTCCATGTATTTCGTAGGGCAATATTTTAGGCATAATTATGGACGCATGATTTAATAGATAATTAAGTCACCTTTATTTCCTTATTCAAAAATTTTTACCAAAGGCCTCCGCTTTAAAGATAATAACAAAACCTAAAATGAATCACCAAATGACGTTTGATATTTGCATTATTAAGCAAAACTTCTTTAAGGAACAGCTACAATTTTGAAAAACATATTTTTAAACATCAGATGAGATCCTTATTCCAATACTGCAGTCCGTTTTTGGCGTCATTTTTATGTGACCTATGACTCGTTCAAGACCACTGTGACATATTAAAGGAGGTTTGGTACGATATCTAGTCACGATAAGAAAATTTTGAAAAAATGTTAGGTTGTAGTATACTATAGTATACTATAGAGTCAACTAATAAGACATTTACAAAGTTTCCGTAAAATATTCAGACCGGATTTCGAATAAAAAAATATCAAAGTTGTTAAAAATACATGGGCTGTATAGAACATTTATTTAATTGGTCACGGGCAGCAATTCTATACATTTGTGTAATATTTGTGTGCATCGTTTATTATTAAAATATTGTGTTGTAAATATTTATACAAATCTATATGCAACCTCTACAGGCATACAAAAATTCATTGATTTGTCATCGTCGCGTTATAAGATTTAATATTATAAAGCTATTCAAATCGAAGAGCTTAAAGATTAATAAACTGTATTTTTGTTAAAAATTGGCGCCCCTAGCCCTAGCCCTAGCCCCTAGAATGCCGATCATGTGCGTCGCACGCCTTGCACCCTTGGGTAGGGACGGCTCTGCGTATACCATTTGTTTGGTAAACCACGTGTGGTATTGAAGGAAATTAAGTTTAGCATATAATGTATGCTAAACTTAATTTCCTTCAATATGCTCTGTATACGCACATTATTATTTCCAAGGTCCACTTATTTTTGTTTTATTTCTATGTTCATATTATATTATACATATAGGCCAGGTAAACTGAATTAACCTAAACAAACTATAAATAAAGTTAAAACAATCATATTTAACTTTAAAAGTAATGTGTAAGGCGTGTTAATTGATATTTCACTAAACTGACCTAATAATATTAGAAAAATAAATATATAATAATCGCCTAATTTTATTATTTAAGATGTTATTCACATTGCGTTTTGTATTTCGGACAGGTAAACTTACAGGTACCAATGGGTGTTTAGTGAGCTGGTTGCGACCTTGGCCAAACTGAATAGACAATAATCGTTACAGACCGTCTGTAACAGACGTCGTCTAGAAAACGAAATCTTCGTCAGGCCAGACACTGGCAGTTCATGTTGCTTATGCAAGTTGATTTTCGCTCCGCGCGCTAGTATGTGGCATGGAGCCGGGCAGCGCGCTTCTACCGCTTACGGGGATCGACTACTATACGTGAGGTCAAGGATTTTAAATGTGAAAAGTGAATACAGTGTGTGTATAGCAGTGAAAAATCATGAGACACAAATTATATGATGGCCATAAGAAAAAAGCTTATGAAATTAATCCTCGGGCTTCTCTTAGGCATACTTTGTTCCCAATTCTTTACAATTTCCCAGATAGCGATACAAGATATGTGTATATCCAAACGCTTGAGTCCCCTAGATTTAATAAACGAAGAGAACCTTCGTGCCCAAAATAAAAATCTACTATTTGTGGGTATTATGACGGCCTCAAAATACCTAGACACCCGCGCCAAGGCGGTTTACGAGACCTGGGGGAAGGAAGTTCCCGGTAAAATTATGTTCTTCAGCTCTGAGTTTTCTTATAGTGAGCATGTGCCTCTGATTGCACTTCCAGGCGTTGATGATTCTTATCCACCTCAGAAAAAATCGTTTACGATGTTAAAACACATGTATGACAACTATATAGATAAATATGAATGGTTTTTACGAGGTGACGACGATGTTTACATGAGGACAGACCGTTTGGAGCATCTGTTAAGATCTGTAGATAGTTCCAAACCCTGGTTTATAGGGCAAACTGGTAGGGGTAATATAGACGAATTCGGACTTTTATCCCTGGAATCTGATGAAAACTTTTGCATGGGTGGACCTGGTATAATCTTTAGCAGGGAATCCCTAAAAAGGATGGCGCCATATGTGGAGGAATGTTTACAGAACCTTTACACGACTCACGAGGACGTGGAGCTTGGAAGATGTGTAAAGAGATTCGCCGGGATTTCTTGCACTTGGTCATATGAGGCGAGTTCCTGCGATTGTAAGGCAAGAGAGGTGTAATTTTAGGGGTCCTCAAAATGGTGGTAAAAATAATTATTTTGCATATTAAAGCGCAATGATGATTTGGACTTTGGTCTGATTATATTTTTGTGAACATGGAAAAAGGATAGAGTAACATATAGTATTATTAACGACAGTAAATTTTTTCTTAACCCAGCAAACACAGACATTTTACTGTGTTTGCTGGAAATATTTTATTATAATATTTCAGTTTTCACTCAGACTATAATGTGTCCCGAAAATAGCGCATTAACGCTGTAAGGGGGTTATTTTAAGTATGAAAAAGAATACAATTTTTTCCGTGGATAGTGTGCCATTTTCGGGACACCCTGTATACTTGATAACTTACTAAAGGGGCACCGACCACACCTCAAGTTCTAAAAAGTATATCCAACCATAGCGACTATAATGTTGCACAACATTAAATCTACAAGATAATTATTTTTTCACGTTTTATAATCAAATTTTCTAAAATGGTTTACCAAAACTACTGATACTCTTTATGTATAGGTATTTATAGACAAATAAACTACTGCCAATCCATCAATTTCTAAAAATTCAACAATATAACTACTCATATTTACTTAAGCAATTTTAAAAAAATTCGCTTTGCCCACCCCAAACATGTACCCAAATAACCCCCCGGAATTAATTTAATTACTTGTTTTTTTTCGCCCCCTTATGATTATTTTATTTTTTGCCTGCCCCTATCCACGAATATAATTTATAAAATGCGCAAACTTTCACTGTGCCCACCATCTTAAATTGTTTTATTTATGTTTTCTTTCGCCCCTATTACGAAATTCTTTGCCAGCTCTCACAAACAGTATTCTGTCTATTACAATTTTACTAGATCTGTTATTTGACAATTTTGTATTCCATTTTTGTCCGACGATTTATTTAAAAAGAAATAGGTAAAACTTTTTCTTATACTTTATTCTTTATTATAATAAGAAAATGTAAACACAACAAAATATTATTAAAAAAGCACAAAAGAAAAAGAACAATAAGATATTTATTAAAAAAAGTATACTTACCTACAAAAATAACAGTTCATTAAAATGTCAAATCTAACGCTAACTACCGCGAAAACAGTTTATCTATTACAGTTTTCTGGCAATTTATTACATTTTCTTGAGAAATCAAGATTATGTGGCCGAAAATATGTGGATAACTTTACACAAACCGCTATCAATATATTTATTCATAAAATTGATAATAAAAATTTGATAAATACAAATTTTTAATTAATTGCAACAAGTAAAGTAAATGTTTCAATGATTTTTTAAAACTTGATATTTTGTACATAGTCTATGAAATTTATATCCATTAAAAGAATATATACTTTTAGTATCTATACTAAGTAGTATTTTTAAAATAAAGCAATGTAATTTTCGATTAATTTAAATTGTTTATACCTAGTAATGATGAAAATATTAGCAATCAATCAGTATTTTAAAATTTGTAGTAAATTATAAACAATTTTCGGCTCTCAGTGACGTTTTTTTTATAATTTTTAAGGTGCTCTGAAAAACTAAAAGGCTTTTCAGATTTTAGTATAATTTTATCCACATTAAAAATAATTTCTTACATTAATTAAAATTAAAACCATATTAAAATTTAATTTTTTCTTGCCACGGCTCTTCTATCATTTTTGGCATATTTGATATAACCCTATAGGGTTGTCATATTTTGTAAAGAAACAGGAAATTTTTTATGAATTTACCCGAGGGGTTATTCACTAGGGGAAAAATGTGACAAGATTTCGGATTTCGAGCGATTTCGAATGATTTCGGAGGATTTCGAATGATTTCGGAGGATTTCGAATGATTTCGAAGGATTTCGGGAGATTTCGGAGGATTTCGGGAGATTTCGACGATTTCGATCGTCAGTGAGTAGGGATTTCGACCAACTTCACTAAATTATTATTAAGTCTAAAAATACCTCGAAACGTATTACATATTTTAAGCTTACTAAAAAAACCTTATTATCTAAATACATACTTTTTTAAAACACTCCTTTCAGTATATTAGTATATTCGAAAGTATATTAAATAACGAACGTTGAAAGTGACATTTTCCACGCGAGTGTGGAATAATTTAACAATGTTTTATAATGCCCTCGATAATGCCAAAATAATATTAAAATTAACCAAAACAATTCCATCCTTATACCTTAAAAATTCCATCCTTATACCTTAAAAATTGCATGATGCATGATTCTAAAAAGAATATTTGATTTTAAAATACATTTTCTTTTTTATTAACACCCATAAAACAAAGAAATATTCGAACGACAAAATTAATTTATTCCCAACTAATTAGCGACAAATTAACGGCAAAATATTTACTATTAAAAAAAAAATTAATCGCATATTTAAGGGGGGTGCCTTGCTAACTTCATATAAAGTTAGCAAAGCAGCCGAAAAAACAAAAAATAATCAAACGACAAAATTAGTTTATTTACAATTAATTAGCGACAAATTAACGGAAAAATATTAAGTATTAAAAAAATATATATCACATATTTGATGGGGGTGCCTTGCTAACTTTATATGAAGTTGGCAAAGCACCCATAAAACAAAGAAATATTCGAACGACAAAATTAATTTATTCACAACTAATTAGCGACAAATTAACGGCATAATATTAACTATTAAAAAAAATTAATCACATATTTAAGGGGGGTGCCTTGCTAACTTCATATAAAGTTAGCAAAGCAGCCGAAAAAACAAAGAAATAATCGAACGACAAAATTAGTTTATACACAATTAAATAGCGACAAATTAACGGCAAAATATTAAGTTTTTAAAAAAAATATATATCACATATTTGATGGGGGTGCCTTGCTAATTTTATATGAAGTTTGCAAAGCACCCATAAAAACAAAGAAATATTCGAATGACAAAATTAATTTATTCACAACTAATTAGCGACAAATTAACGGCAAAATATTAACTATTAAAAAAAAATTAATCACATATTTAAGGGGGGTGCCTTGCTAACTTCATATAAAGTTAGCAAAGCAGCCGAAAAACAAAAAAATAATCAAACGACAAAATTAATTTATTCACAATTAATTAGCGACAAATTAACGGCAAAATATTAAGTATTAAAAAAATATATATATTACATATTTGATGGGGGTGCCTTGCTAACTTTATATGAAGTTGGCAAAGCACCCATTAAAACAAAGAAATATTCGAACGACAAAATTAATTTATTCACAACTAATTAGCGACAAATTAACGGCAAAATATTTACTATTAAAAAAAAAATTAATCACATATTTAAGGGGGTGCCTTGCTAACTTTATATGAAGTTAGCAAAGCACCCATAAAAACAAAGAAATATTCGAACGACAAAATTCATTTTTTCACAACTAATTAACGACAAATTAACGGCAAATTATGCACCTAATCGGTTCTTGATTGGCGATGGATGCTTTGCTAACTTCACGTTCATAAAATTTCTACCCGTTGCTAAATTACTATTGATTTTATTAAAGAAATTAGATACATGTCTCATCTTAGCACCTAGATATGTACAATTGGCGTCCCCGAAATGTGAACGGCAAAATTTAATCGTGTAATATGGGCTTTGCATCAGTGTCGTCGGTAGTTGTCAAATTTGATAATAGTTGTCAATTGCAATATTAAAAATGCCACCCCACTTAACCGAGGCTCAGAGGTCCAGGGCAATAGCCAAATTAGAAGAAAATTGGCCTTTAAGTGAAGTAGCTGCAGATTTAAATGTCAGTAAAAGCTGCATATTTTATATCAAAAAACATTGGCAAGAACAACAAAGATTAAGAAGACCTATCAGGCAAGGTGTAGGAAAAATCTCCAACGAAAATGAAGACAATGCTCTTGTCGCACATATTAGGCAAAATCCTTTCAATAGCGTAGTGTTCATTGTTTATTTTACTGTACTGTTAATAACATTTCCTGTAATTGGGTGTATTCCTGTTGGAAATAAATTATTATTATTATTAATTATTATTATTAAGGCCCGAGAAGATACACAATTTCCAGGATCTCTTCGAACAGCTCAAAAAAGATTGAAACAAGCTGGTTTAAAAAACTGTGCTGCTGCTCATAAGGTTTTTTTAACTGAAGAAAATAAGCGCAGGAGAGTCCAGTTCGCCAATGACTATTTAAATTATGGAGAAGATTTTTGGAATAATGTTATATTTTCGGATGAAAAAACGTTCCAATCTTGCAATAATGGAAGGCTGCGTGTATATCGTCCAAGAAACGCAAGATTTGAGGAGAACTATACATTAAAAACCTCAAATAGTGGACGCTTTTCCATAAATGTTTGGGCGTGGATAAGCATCCATGGTCCGGGAGTATGTTGGGAAATTCATGGTAGATTAACGGCTGAGCACTATACCAGGATTTTGGACAACGTTATGCTACCTTCAGTTAGACATGTGTTTCCAGAAAACTTTATATTTCAACATGTAAGAAAACTGTATAGTATTCAAAAACGATTCTAATAAATATTATATTACAGGACAATGCACCAGTTCACACAGCTCGCGTGGTTACAGAGTGGGTAAACAACAACCACATAACTGTTTTGCCATGGCCAGCTAGAAGCCCTGACTTAAACCCCATTGAAAACGTGTGGGGTTTTATAGTTAAAAATATATATCAACGGGACTTTAGGCCAGCAAACCGAGATGAACTATGGAGTGCTGTTGAAAATTCTTGGGATGAGCTTGCTGATTCATACGACATGCGTGAGCTAATAATGTCCATGCCAAGAAGGTTGCAAAGGGTTGTGGCAGCTAATGGCTCTGCAATTAAGTATTAAAATAGCTTAGCAGCACAGTTTTTTAAGCCAGCTTGTTTCAATCTTTTTTGAGCTGTTCGAAGAGATCCTGGAAATTGTGTATCTTCTCGGGCCTTAAATGCGCTATTGAAAGGATTTTGCCTAATAAGTGCGACAAGAGCATTGTCTTCATTTTCGTTGGAGATT